ATTATCAACTAAATTAATAATCCACAAAGTATTAAATAACGTTTTTATGAAATATTTAGCACAAAAACAATACCCTTTAAATATCGATCGTCAGTAACTGTGGCTGACTTACCTATATTCTAGCAAGCAGGACTGCCAGATGTGAAGGGGAAATCCCCAATAAATTGTTGCATGTGACTGATGATGTGAGCATGTTCGTTTCATAATAAAAATGTTGCCAGGTAACCAAAAAGTCGTATGTTTTTGTGCGAATTACGATCATAATCTTTACGATCGTACATTAAAAAATAGACAAATAATAGTATGAGTACGATTTAAATCGTATATCTGTCAACCCTGCTAGCAAGACAGCGACAAAATCACGTTGCATAACAATGTAGCCCAAGCTTATATCTTATGAAATATACGGAAGAGATACGGACTTAGAAAAAACAGAAATGTTGTTCTTTGTGGAAGTCATTGATGAAATTCTATGTATTTTAGCCCGCAAACTTTCTTCAAACAAAAACAGCGCCATCTAGTATCGAGTTCTGTAATTATCTCTTTGTTTATGGATTTGAAGTAAGACCGCCACGCATGCAATACATTATGACTGGGGATTCCCCTATTCGTCGACGCTGAATATGAGGCGACGACAATCACTGTCAAACGTGTTCACTATTACTCTGACTCTGGTAACGTGACTTCCTGGTAACGTGTTAGGTAGGAAAAGCAGTAAAAAAGTGCATATTAAGGGAGCAGATTTGAAATAATATTTATACTTAACAAGAAATAATTAAAGGTAAGTGGATTTTTGAATGATACAATTATATCATGATCACTTAACAATTTTAACTTAAAATTAGATGTATTATTACAAGCTTTTATTTAGCTTGCGTTATGTAAATAAAAGTATGTAGGTATGTTCGTATGTTGATGCAATTATCCTCAATCCTCAACCGACTGGGATAAAATTTTCCATACACGTTTATTTTGGATGATAGTGCATAGTTAGCTGAGAGTCGTCATTGGATAATAATGGTGGATAGCCTAAGATGTGTACTAGATATTTATTTTTAACATAATATGCGTAAGTACCTAATCGAATTAAAGAAGTTGCTGAGAAAAATACAGAACAATACGATAATAAACTAGCGTCTGCGTTTAATCCTCCGAGGAGATGTAATTTTACAAAGGTTTTTTGTATTTATTTTATTATTTTTTTAATAAATTTATTGTAAATAACAAGAAATAATCATTGTAAAAAAATAGGCACTCTATTGTTGAATTTTCGTCAGACCAACTAATCATCGTTCATTTTTTTAGGTTCAATGGGGAGACCTAAAGATTTACGCATATGGGAGCACTACCGTACTTTACCAAACAAGTCTGTTTCTTGCAAGCTTTGTAATAAGGTCTACAAATTCAGTAATGCTGCCAAAATGCTTCAACATCTTATCACTTGTCCAAAATCTCCAGAAACATTAAAAGACTCTATGAAACTTATAAAAGATAGCTCGTCCAAAACCAAAATGTCTGGACTGTCAGAGATAGAGACAAATGATTCTTTTATAAGCCCCTCGTCGTCTGCTAACACTACAATAAATGCTGAGTTTCAAGACACCGATGATCATATAAAAACAGAATTAGCGAGAGCTATATTTGTAACAGGGACGCCATTATCGATGGTGCAACATCCTTTATGGATACAATTTTTCGAAAAATTGCAACCAAAATTTAAAATACCTTCACGTAAAGCTTTAGCGACAAAATACTTAGATAAAATATATAGAGAAATGCGTTTTGAGTTAAATGAGGAACTAAATGCTTGTAGTTACTTACACCTTCAGTGCGATGGCTGGTCTAATTTAAGAAATGAAGGAATAATAAACTTTCTTATATCAAAACCTCAACCTGCATACGTTAAAAGTTTGAATACAGAAAGTAATCCTCACACTAGTGAATACCTTAGCCAAGAAGTTGAAAAAGTAATGAAAGTGTATGGAGCAAATAAGTTTCTTGTACTTATTGGCGATAACGCTAGAAATATACAAAAGGCATTCGAATTAACAAAACTCAAATATCCACATGTTGTTCCTCTCGGTTGCTGTGCACATATCCTTAACTTGTTGTGCCAAGATATTGTAAAGATACAAGAAGTAACTGTGTTTATTATGCAAGCCATAAATATAATAAAAACTGTTAAAAGGAGTCAACGATTAAGTTCCTTGTTGATAAAATCAAGGCAGGGTGAAGATTCTACACAAACACTAAAATTGCCTTGTGCTACAAGATGGGGAAGTCATGTTACTTCGTTAAAAAGTTTGAAAGCAAATAAGATAGCTTATTATTTATTATTAATTAACAGTTAGAGAAGATGTGGTAATTTCAAGAGATATTAAAGATTTAATTCTAAGTGATGATTTCTGGACGAAGACAGGGGAATGTATAAGTATTTTGGAACCAGTCACTGAAAGCATATTTTACTTAGAGAGCGACCAGAATCGTTTGCATCGCACATACATTACATTTAGAGATGTACAAGCTAAGATACGTTTTGCATTAAATGAGATTTCGACATTGAGCGAAGAAAGCAAACAGCAGATTCTAACATCAGTATCTTCAAGATGCAATATGGCAATGAGGCCAATACATTTTGCAGCATATATTCTAGACCCCAGGACTCTAGGAGTCGAACTTACTCAAGAGGAAGAACTTAAGGGTATGGAGTTTATCTACAATTTAAGCCAACACTTAAGTTTGTCAAATGTAATGGCAGATTTGGCGTGTTATAAAGCTAAAGAAAACTTTTGGGCCAGAGGATTTGTATGGAGCTCATTAGATAGCATTGAGCCCCTAATATGGTGGAAAGGTATTTGTGGTTCCACTGAGTTAAGCAAAGTAGCGATTCGTATTCTATCAGCTCCCTGTACTTCGGCAGCCACTGAGCGTTCCTTTAGTATCCAAGGCTACATACATAATAACAAAAGAAATCGACTTACAACTGAAAGAACTGAAAAAATTTCATTCATTTGTTATAACTGGAATCTTAAACATAAAGCTGAATGCGAGGACATTCAGTTTAATGAAGAAAATACCTTAGAAGCTTTCATTGAGCAAGTAAATGAACATAACAGTTTAGACGAAATAGAGCCTATCGAACCTATACAATTCATCGCTTGTAATAACTCTGAATCTGACAGTGATTGACTGTAGTTTTACATTTTACTTTCATCTCTTTCTTAATAAACTCAAAATCAAATTAAAAGTTTTTTATTCTGTAGGCTGCATAATAATATTGTCTATGTCCAGTATAGTGGACGTCTTGCGGCTGAGATGACGATGATGAAGTACAAAATCATAAATACCCAAAAATTTGGGTGTTTATGGGGTTTAAACCCAATAAACCCAAAACACCCGGTTTTTACCCACCAGACTTTAAACCCTTTTAAGGTGGATTGCCCATCTCTATTGTGCAGTGCCAAAATAAAATTTTTAAATTAATTTGCCTCAATGAAATGTTTTTACCTTTAATTAATATTTTAAGGTCTTGCTATCTAATCATAAATTATTTTACTAATATTTAATGTTATGTTTCACGATTTTAATACTTTTATATAGTTAATTATATTATTAAATGGAAATAAATATTTTTTTTTAATTACGATTTCATGCAATTCAGATTATTACATACACACATTTATATAACACAAATACTAGTCAAAGTTAGAATGTCTTGTTGTGAATAAATTAGAATAGACATTCTAACTTATTCGCAAAATAGTAGACTTGTTCATAAAATTCTTATTTATTGCAAACTAGTCATTTGCCATGATTTTTCCCACGCAGCATCCGTTATCTCCTGTTCCACTTTATACAAAGTACACGACTTCATGTTTATTCAAGGCATCCCGATATAAAACTTATTTCTTTTTTTCTATATATAAATTCCATATAATAAAATGCTTATGATTCGATATAAAATTTCATTATTTACATCATCCTTATTAATATTATAAATGTGAAAGTAACTCTGTCTGTCCATCTGTCTGTATTGATTCAGTGGTTTAGGCATGTATTTCACGCCTAAACCACTGAATCAATTTTAATGAAATTTGGTACAGAGACGGTCTAAAGTTTGGAAAAGGACATAGGCTACCTTTTCACTTAACAAGAAATAAATAAATATTTGTTCTAGCGTTTTCGATATTTCAACCTGTTTGGGGATGAAAGTTCGTATGAAAGTCCAATATCACATTGACGCCTAACCCAAGAACCAATCTTGATGAAATTTAGAACAAACATAGATTAGACCTGACGAAAAGACATAAGCTACCTTATGTTGTAAAAAAGAGCATGAAGGGGTAGATTGTATAAGAGTTCATGATTATCGAAGATACAACCATAAACTTTGTATTTAAGCACTTCGTAAGAAGTAAATGAACATTTATTCCAGCATTTTATAATTTCGACCTACATGGGAATAAAATAGGAGAAAATTCGTCTGAAAGACCAAACAAATTTGTCTTGTTGATTATACGTAAGCAAAAAATATAGTTTATAAAAGTGTATTGAAATTATTATTTACCACAGCAGTTAGTAAATCTGTAGAAACATAATACATATTTGCAAAATAAATATCCAAATAAATTCAAAATTATTTCCAAAATAACTATTCCACGCGGACGAAGTCGCAGGCAAAAGCCTAATTAACAATATACCCCGAAAGGTCGACCTCCAAGCGTTTTCCCTGAAAACCATTGTGATTAATTCATCACGATGGGCTGACTGCCTTACTTCATCCCCACCTATCATCCCTCAGTGGTGCCCCGCTGGTGTATACTGATAGCGTAGGCGAGGTCACTATTTTATTTTCAAAGTTAAAAAAAAACACAAATTTGATATTACGACTGGAGAATTAAAAAAAAATCTATTTTAACAGATAAATCTTGAATAGTTAGACAATTGAATAGAAGTTCTGAAAAGATAAAAGATATTTATTGAAAATTTTTCTTTATTAGTTATTTTGACTCATAACAGTTTTTTCTAGTTGCATTATCTATTTCGTTTTCTTTAACTGATAATTTTCTAAGAGGTATTATTAGAAAACCACTAATAGTCATAAAAATACCGGCTACATAGAATGCTACAGAATACCCAAAATTATTTTTAACAACGCCTGCTATTGGTGTACTGACTAAACTTCCACAACCTTGAAACATTAACAACATTCCCGTACCATTTGTTAAATTTTCTAAACCATAAAGAGCTACTATGACCATACTCCTTAAAGATGCTAAACTTGCAATGAAGAATCCAAATACAAAACAATAACTGTATTGATAATAAACACTATAGGATACGTCTGAAAATATTGTACTCACTCCGGAAATACAACACGAAATCATATACAACTTTACTGGGTCAATTTTACAAGCTAATGTGCCCATAACGAGCCTTCCTAAAGAGTTTGCTAATCCAATCGCACTCACGAACAATTGTGTATGTGCTGGATCAAGACCTGCTATTGTGTTTCTGTCTTGTATGAACACATAGGGTACTAATAATCCCATATATGTAAGACAACCACTACTACATAAAAATAAAAAGGAACATTTTTTCAAAAGCTTAGGGTCCAACATTGTTGCTAATACTCTTCGAGCAGCAGTAGTAAACACACCCCTACGTTCACGCAGATCTGCAGTAGTTGCAGCTCGTGATACAGCTAACTGATATTCCAAACCAGTTTTATCTTCAGCAGTAGTATCTATCATACTTTTCTGATATACTGGAAGATTTTCTATTTTGCCTTCATAGAAAAAATCATCACGGTATAAAGGACGAGCCTGCTGTGTGTGTTCTTCCCAGTGACATAATCTTGTCCACCAACTCCGTTTTTTGGGTTGTTCAATATTTACAGTAACTTCTATATTATTTTTTGTTTTATCTTGTTCTTTAGCACTTGTTCTAGACATAATTGACTGCACTTGCTTTAATTGTCTTTTACTAATGCCGCTCTGTGGACTGTGTGCTGTCAAAGTTAATTTTGATAGAGCTGCAGTCGAAAGCCCTGGTTGATTAGAAGATGTTAATATACCCTCATGAACTACTGAAGCAGCCGTTGGAAAATTAACATTTGAAACCGCACTAAATAAACGTTCAGTAGCAGTTGAAACAACACCTGACGTAGATTTAACACCTGCAGTAGATAGATTTGGTAGATAAGTAACGGTGCGTGTAGGATCATCTGTAGTCTTCACTACTGTTAATGACAGTAGAGGTTTAAAGGTCATACCCAAAAAATATATTACTCCAAACAAACCGGTATGTAATAAAGTTACAGCTCGCCAGCCAGCTAATTTGACTAAATAACTGTTTATTGGAAACATTATCATAATACCCACACTTGATCCACTGGATGCAAGTGATAATGCCAATGACCTAAGCTTTTCAAAATAAAAACTTACTATTAATGAAGCCGATACATTTATAAGAGAAAATCCAAATCCAGCAAATCCTCCATAAAATACACATAGAGACACGTAATTTGTAGCAAAGTATGAACAAAATAAAGAGCTCGATGCAATAACAGAGCCAGACATTACACATAATCTGAATCCAAAACGATTAATGAAGGCGGAGGCTATTGGACTTGCTAGAAAATATAATGCAACCGACAGCGAATTTATTAGCGCTATAAGGGATTCGGATTCACCAAGGTCTTCTTTCATGTTTTTGAATATACTTCCAAATGTAAATGTAACTCCGTCTAATATAAAAATGCTGCAAAAGGAAGCTATTACCACAACCCAACCCCATCCACCTTCCTCTGGTAACAAAATTTGCGCTGCAATTTCTGTTTCTTCTCCACCTTCTAGCTGATCTGGTCTACTGATTATTCTACTTGGTATTATCAGAACATTCTTGTTTGGTTCATTTCCTAATTTGGATGCAATAACCTTTGGTGGCATATTTTCACTATAATATATTCGATTCTTAATATTTTTTATTTTCACCTCTTATTAACTCAATTTAGTTAAACTCTTCCGATTATTATATGTTAGTAATTAGAGATAAAAAGTTATATAACTGACATTTAATACGACAATAAATATTACACGCTATCAGATTTTATTTCTATAGAGGCTTACTTCTTTTTTTTTCATAGACTAAATATGTCGTACCTATGTATATACAAATCTTTGATAATAGAAAAACTTGCCTATTTATTGAAATCTTGCTAATACTCTATCTTATCTTACTTGCAACTAGACGATGTCTATACATTGAAGAAATTGAAAAACCATATGAAAGGTCTTAATAAAAGCCAAAGTATGTTTGTACGATTTTCATAATCATATTTCTAAAGATTGAAATTTTAATACCTGATATATATTTTATTACAAAGTTCAAGCATACGAAGTTGAAAGCATAAGCTAATTCTTAAATAAAATTATAGTGACCTCCAACCATTATCGTATTTAACGGTGAGACCGAGTTAGCCGTGCCGACGTCTGAATTGCCTGATGCTCATCCCAGGATATAAATGAGTGCTTTCATTTACATACAAAATACATATCTGAGATATGTCATACGCCTTTTTTTTAAGACCACGTTCCGCCTTATTTTTTTATACTACTATGGTGACAAACAAGCATACGGTCTGACTGATGGTAAACGGAGTTATCGTAGCCTATGGACGACTGTAACACCGAAAGTGTCACGCGCGCATTGCCGACCTTTAAGAAACTTTAATACGCCATTTTTTAAGAACCCCAAGCTGTAGACTCTAGGGGAAGCCTCAGCTGTAAAATTATTCCACAACCTGAATATTCGCGGGAGGAAGCGCCTCTGAAACTGCAATTTGTGTAACCATTCTGGTTCTAAGATGTGAATAGAAAATATTTTTAAATGTATCAATGCCTTTAACATAAATTCAAACTGCTCGGGACATAAGGGAAGAGATTGTTAGTAACGGGTCTATTACTAATAATATAAGGTATATTGTTAGCAATAGGGCCAGTCATCAAGTCGACCTTTTTTTTATACAATAGAATGGCAAACAAGCTGACGGCCCACCTGATGGAAAGTGGTAACCGTCGCCTATAGATATAAGCAGTACCATGGACATAACAGAGTATACTGTTTCGCCCATGATACCCCCCATGCGTTGCCATTCCTGAGTACTCAGGTGTTATTCGTCTGTACCTAGTAAATTCACGCTATATCCCACCCTTCAAACCGAAACACAGCCATGCAAACACAACTGCTTTACGGTTGAAACACGAATGGGACAGAGGTACCCAAGCAATCGACTTTTGTACAAAGTCTCTACACAATGTACTCTCGAAACCAGCATAATTGTTTCTTGATGAGTTCCTCATAATAGGACAACTAGCTTAATTTTATACTCGCTTAGTCTAGTATATAGCGATTACGCAAGAGTTACCATTCCAGTCACCATCATCATCATGAGTTAATTAAAAGATGTTAATGTAATTTCTGGATTCCCGAAAAAGGGAAAATATCTATTTATATAAATTTATGCTTTATAATTTTATAAAAGAAACAATGGTCTTTTTTAGTAAATATTACTATAAAAACAATTAAAAATTAATTTAAAACAATAAATGTTTTAAAGGAATATAAATACTTTAATCTTTAAATTTTAATAAAGGTAGGACCGAAATAATCTAAATAAAAAGTTATGATTCAAAATATATAACGTTTTTCATTAATTTTCTCCATTCTAAATAATATTCATTTATGCATTCTAATTTTTAAAATGTCTATTACGGGAGTTGTCTCTAATGAATATGGTGTTTGTGAATTTACTTCCATGATTATATTTTAATCTCATTTTCTAAATTTCTGTTTACAAATTAATATTAAAATGACATCACAATTATGATAATTAACTATTAATTAAAAATAATACCTACATATATTTTTTAATAATAAACGTACTTATAAGAGTAATTCTTTCCGGAGTGATCAGTGGCATTGTCATTCCCTACGATTTGGAAATTTGGCATGTCATGCAGTTTGTTTTTGGTATTTAATGAAATTCTTAAATGTAATAAAATTCACTAATGATCCTAATAACATTTTGTTTCATTATGACTGTTAACAATGCGTAGGTAAATAGGTAATTAATAAATTATTACTAAAAATAAGTATATATTCTGTTCAGTGACGAGCTAACCATCGTGACTACAATTAGTCTCTACTTTCTGTAAAAGGCAATAGTTACAGTTATAAAGTAATATTTAAATAGTTCAGTGTGATAAATTATGGATTAATACGTTAGTGCATATCCAAAGTGACATTTTATTCTGGGCTTCGGTAGGCTTTATGGTTACAGGAGATTCTTAAATCAATTTTGTTTATAATATCATATGCTAACTTTATGGCAATCTATGGGGGAGGCTTATTTATGTCCAGCAGTAGACGGATAGTGGCTGAAATGATGATCATATGTTAATTTATAATATTATATAAAATTATTAATTTCAACCGTATTTTGTGCTATTTTATATAAATTAACAGTAACAGATAAACGTCGTTTGTTTTTATGTAACTACTGAATTTTAATAATCTGTTCTTCAATCAGTCGGAATTCAAAATCTATATCAATACTTAGTGTCAATTTGACAGTCAATGTCAAATTGGAAACGTTTTTAGTATTATTTGGAGGGAAACGAAATTTTTGTTGCTTTTGTGCTGTTACTCTTAAAAATTGAATTATTTAAGTAATTATTAAGTTTTCACTATGTCTCAAACAAGAATTACATCATTTTTCAATAGTAGAAAACGGCCAGCTATAGATGATATCGCTTCACCACAGAATAAGATTCCCCATTTAGAATTAGTATCGGACGACGGCACAAAGCTTATTAAAAGAAAAGTTAACGTAAATAAAAGTGACATTTGTGATGTGATACAGTCGTCTCAATTAATTAATGACACTAAAGATGAAGGAAAAAAGGATAATTTATTACTCCAACAACCTCTCACGGAACAAGCGTGTAAACATACACACGCTTCAGTCGCAACGCCATTTGCCAAAAAAAACAATTCCTCTAATATTTCCAAAGCTTCAGAGGTGTCCAAAACACAAACGATACAGGTGGCTCGAAAAGAGTTAAGTTTAGGAAACATACGCAAAAAGCTAGCGGGCAGTTCTAGGTTAGCTGAAATAAAAGCATCTGCAGAACGTATTAGCAAAGGTATTCAACAACTTAAAGAAACTGGTGAACAACGCAACCTTAAAGAATTTAAATCTATTGATGTGGAAGTCCCATCAAGGTATATATTCATTATTATTTAGTTTTCTTGCTCTTAATTTATAATATTATCATCCCTTAGTAAAATTATTACATTTTAAAGTCTATAGTACTACCAAATAGTTGTAAGAAAAACATTTATATTTTATGTTTAACAATATTTTTTTATTTTTATTTTAGTCCAAGTAAAAGATCAAGTCAGGAGTTGTCATCACCAAAAAAAGACCTTGCTCCTGCCGATAATCAAGAGCGATTTCTCATCTCACCACGGAAAGTTTATGTGAGCCCTGTTAAAAGTCCTAACAAAGTAAGTTATATAATTTAAACTTTATTAAAGTTCTAATTCTTACATTATTTTAAGTAAAAAAATTTATATATATTATGATTGCTTTCTGGAGTTAGTTTTCACAAAATATTGTTTATTGTAATTTTATAATATTTATATAATATTATAGAGTGTTTCTAAATTATTGTGAATTCTGTGATGTCTGTGGTCCTGTTTATATTCATAGGCAATGTTTACCACTTTCTGTCAGTTCTATGGATCCTTAGCTTATTTAGCATTTTAAGTCATATATACTTTTCTTAAAAGGTTTTTTGTTATATTGAAATATTTTTCCCCATAGGTACCTGCATATGTAAGACATGCATCTTTGGCTACCTCTTCAACCAGCTTACCTCTTCCTCATCAGTACAAGTTCTTAGCAGAACTATTTCGGGGTATAGAGACAGTTGTTGCTCTACTTTATAATAGAAATGAAAAAATAACATTCACTAAACTGAAGCCCTCCATTCAAGAGATGCTTAAACGTAACTTCACAGAAAAGCATCTAGCTCAAGTAAAACATTTAGTACCAGATTTTTACAGCTATGAAATTCAAAAAATTAAAAGTTTTACAACATCTTCTCATAAAGAAACATATGAACTAGTTATATCGCCCAATCTTCCTAATGATATTAAAGTTATGAATCCGAGTGTCCTTCTTGAAAGACGTAGATTCTTTTATGAGACATTGCTTCGACTTGTGAAAAAACATCATGCTCAATACTTGTCATCATTGGATCCTCCGATGATCATACCTGATAATAAACTAGTTCGCTGGCACCCGGAATTTGATCTAGAAAAATTACCAGAAATTGATTGTGCTAAATTACCAGAATTGCCAAACACACAGAAATTATCATCAGCACAGGATGTGTTGGCCAAGGCTCGTGATTTGTTTAAATGCAACACTAAAATGGAGAGGGCATTGGAAAAATTAGCTGAAGCAAAAGCTAGAGGCTTAACCAACGAGGAGAAGGCAGTTACTGGTATTAATGATGATAAATGGAAAACTGTAGCCACAAATACACCATCAACTAGTACTGTAAATATTTTAAACCCTGCATTACGTAACTTACCAGCTTCATTATTGGAAAAAGTCAAAGCAAAACAAGCTGCCAAGGCTCTTGAAGCCATGACAAGATCTTCAGAAAATGAACAAAAGTATTTAGTTTATAGCCGTCTGCCAGATCTTGCAAGGACATTAAGAAATATTTTTGTTACTGAGAGAAAAAATGTATTGGCAATCAATATTATTCTTTCAAAATTAGACAGCAGTTTTAAGGCAAATGTGTCTGCTAGTGACCTGCAAAAGGATATTAAATTGCTCACAGAAGAAATCCCAGAATGGATAAAGCTACATGATGTAAGAAATGTTACATACTTAAAATTAGACAAAAATGCCAATTTAAAAAATATTATTTCTAAATTGGAAACATTAGCTGAAAAGTATAGGAATGATTAAGTAGCCCTAAGTAGGTAGTAGTTAATGATTTGACATGTAATGCAAATTAAGACTGAATAAGAAAATTTGTTACTGCATAGAAAAATAAATATATATGATGATTGCACAAAAACTGACCTTTTTATAGTTTAATACAAACAAATGAAATTTTAATTTTTTTTTAGAATTTGTTGCAATTTCGATAAAATCATGTGTGTAGATTCTATTTTTCTTAAATTACATCTCATTAAGTCTTAAAAATACTAAACTTTAAATTAACTAGTATGTATGTATTAAAGAGATTATTTAACTCTATTTACAATACAGAATGCATTGGACATGTTTAGACTAGATATAGTTTTGACATTGTAATGTACTTTTGACATTTGATTTCAATGATGCCCTTAGAATAATAATTATCTTAAGATAATGTGTAATTTAAATACATCTTTTTACTTACAATCAAATAATAGTTTATATTTAAAAGTACTCTGCTTCTGAAGTGCTTACTTTTGTGTTTTTAATTATAAAGTTATTTTTTTATACAAAGTTAAAAAACATACATAAATACCAGATTTTGATCAAAAATGATATAAATATAATTACTAAATTGCTGTTTCACTTTGTTTAGATACAATATTGACAATATTCTGTATCAAATTTATAATAAGCAAATATTTTCTACTATGTAGTACTTTTAATTTAGCAGTTAATAAAAGAATGTGTGATTGAACAAATTTTATTTTACTAAAGTACCTATAGTATTGCAAATACGACATATCTTTGCTTTTTAATATGATAATTTTCTATTTAGCCAATAAATGGGATTGTTATAATTTAAATGATTAGCTGGTAATAAAAAATTTAAACGTTTTTATTACCAACTAATTTTCATTTGTATATGAAATACGGATTTAGAGTCAATCCGTAAATATTCAACATGATTCATATTCGTAAAGATCATTATATGATATATATATATATATATATATATATATATATATATATATATATATATATATATATATATATATATATATGTTCTAATTTTCAATAATGATGGTAATTTATTTACACTTATTATAATCATAATAGTAATAATAAAATATTATTTTATAATATCCTGATCTTGGAGTATTGCAGCGTGGTCTGGTGCCCACATTTTACTACACATATATTGCGTATGGAACGTATCCAGTAGCGATTCTTATGGCACTTGGCACTTTAAAAAAAAATATATGTGCTTATGGATATGGTGGCACCAGATGTTAAGCATCATCATCTCATCATCTTCCTACCCTTATCCCAATCATTTGGGGTCGGCGTAATATGATTTTATCCATATTACAAAAAGATTTGGTTTTTAGTTTTACGACCGGCCACCTGCCTGACGTCAACCCTCTTTGAAAATGTTAAGCATTTAATAATATTTGTATGCTGTATATATTTGTTTTTCTCCGTACTAATTGTTAGTATCAATATATTCTGTGTTTGTCTATAAATATTTTTTACATTTAATTCTAAGCTCAATGATTGTGTAACTACTTAAATTAAACTATCCTGTGAAAACAATAGTTGGTGAACCTAAATAAATAAAGTCGACATTCATCTTTTATCTCTAATGGTATCGTTGCGCATATAATAAACTGATATCAAAATAGGATGATTCAGTTATTAATTAAACTATTATAATATACTATTACTGTTTTATCCGTTGTGGGAAATAAATAAATGAATAGTTTATAAACTAAATTTATTTTATTGTTTTCTTATGGTGTATTAATTGAACATAACAACTGTATCTTCGGTTTTTATCTTACCATAAAAATATTTTATATATCTGTCTGTAGACACAAGAGAACCTTATCACTAAACAATGCTTTCTATCAGCAACCTAGATGAAGTAAAATAAATATTAACAAAATAACATAGTCTTACAGTAATAATAAATATAATGTGGTCTTATGCCAATCTATAATGATTAAAAAAAAATAGTTGAACTATCAAGAACAAGTAAGTTAATTTTCAGTCAACAGTAAATCGTAATTAATGCTATTTAAATCTCCCGATGTATAGGCGCTCAAAAACTTTCGCAATATTTCAGCAGGAATTAGGTATTGACTAACAGCGGGATCTTCAAACATTCGGTTGAAATACGGCACCTAGAACAAAAAGACCGTTTATATAAGTACAAAAGTGTTTCAAAAATACATAGATTTATATTTGTCTGTAAAAATATTATATTATTATCCATATTATATTGTTTTATTATAGTTGTCATCTATGACAATTCCAAAAATTGTGTTCATTAAAATTCCCGTTACTTTATATAGACATATCTAAGAGATATATGTTAAAAAATACACATAACTTAGAAACAATAATATCACCATCTAAATTTTTACAAACCCCTATTTTATCATTTTTATTTTCATTGCATCAATTTCTTAATCATACTAGATAGGATTGCTCACGTGAAGGTAATTGTCAGGCATTTTAATGTATTAAAGTATAAATTATTTCTTGATTGAACATGATTACTTGAAATAATTAGAAAATAATCTATTTTTATAAGCTTCTAAATATGTAAAAATAAATACATTCATGATTTTAAAACTTAATAAACAATATTTTTTTAAGAATATGTAAATTACCATTATTATTTATTTAATTATAAAATTAAACCTACACTATAAATAAAAATATATATCTTTTAATTGCTTTACCTAACTCTACTCTGATATATCTATTACTCTACATCGGAGAACGCGCATTTCAATTTACACAGTATTACATAAGATCATATAGAAATTTTTAACAAGCTCTTCAATGGCCCTCAAGTATTGTCAAGGAAGTAGAACCAGTATAATTATACTAAACAGCTTTTACATACACAATCGTATTGATTTCTCCCTTACACATGGTACCTATCAGCTACAGGGGAAGGGATTGTTAGTAATGAGGATGTAGTTCCCATTGCTAACAATATACCCTGTTATTTCGACCTTCACGCGGTCCTCCTGGAAATGGCCTTAATTCATTCTTGTAAAATTCGTCCTGATGAACTAACTGACCTGCTTTCATCTTCACCTACCATCCCTTACTGATGCCCCGCCAGCGTATACCGATGGCGCAGACAGGTTACTACTCTACATTCACCCATTAAAAAACCTCTACAAAATAAAATAATAATAAATAAATTATGTAAACATAGGCCAGCACCACTTATACTTACCAGTAACTTATACCTTTCTTCTCTTATTTTAATTCTTTCATCCAAATCCAATTGTAAAATCCTTTCGAACCAGGGCCAAATCATGTAATCAACATAACCAGGTTGATCACCGTCCAAGAATTTAGTGCCTCTTTTTCTTAATTGCTCCTCAATAAAATCTAACGCCTTATAGTACGCAGTGAAGTTATCTTCAACTATGGAATCTGGACTTCTTAATAGCTTGTAGAAGATCGCAGAAATCTAAAATAAATAGTATAATTCAGGAATTTTATGTATTAATTATTTATATATGAAATTTATTTCCGTGTCTGAATAAATAAGAGTCCATGTTCAATCTCGGTGGGGTCTATTTTTAAAACAAACTTTTTTACATCTACTCTAGTCTGAGTCTTGATTGTGCCCCAAATTTGTTAACTGATTTTTCATAATACAAGGCAATCTACTTTAAGGACCGAGTCTAATAGGTGTGTAAAACCCAAAAATATAGCCTTTTGAATAAATGTATGTGGTAGTATTTATTCCTACACATCAATATCATTCAAGTCAAACAGACAGACAGACTTGTAGATATTATTGTGAAAGATACTTACGGGTCCTATAGCTTCGATTATAATTTTGTCAAAAGCTTTCTTCACCGGATCTTTGGGTATTAGTGGCCTTTGTGGATATACATCATCCAAGTACTCCACGGTCACCAAACTTTCGTAGATACTTACTCCATCTTCGATTTCCAAAGCGGGCACTTTACCTATAAATATCATATAGTTTTATGATTGAACTAATGTAGGTATGTAGAACGTAATGTATTAAATATACCTTATCGCATATGATTGTTAAAACACATTACAGATAACATACGACACGAATCTAGAATTTTTTTAGATAAAAGAAAATGAAAGTCATTCTGTAGCTGACAAAGTCTTACAGAAATTATTTCAATATTACGACTGTCTAATAAAATTTACTCTTTAGAACCGGCCAACTAATATTTCTAAACTGAATAATTACTATTGTAGGTATTTGTAGTGCCTTTTTATACGGATTAAGATGGTATGGTGCGCCCGCCTATGCTAAAGGCGGAGGGAAGGGGGGGACCCGTAGAGGATGAAACGATGAAGTCCATCATAGAAAATGTATTAGAAATTAACCCAGGTGATGATAATCTAGCGCTCGGTTCTATCACACCCAACCACCACACAAGTTTAGCTAATTAATATGTAGGTCCTTGGGAATAGTAACGACCAGTTTCAAAAATGATGAGGAAGTTAGTCACCATTGCTAAAAATATACTCTATCATGTCGACCTCCCCGTGGTCCCCAACGATGACTTGCAGGGCGACAACGTAGAGGTCGACCTAACAGGGTATACCTATTGCTAGCAATGGTACCACTAGTTCCCGTTTTACAATGCAATTAAGTAAGTATAATTCCTTACCAAATGCACTTTTGGTGGGCAACCATTCCGGTTTGTTTACTAGGTTAATGTTGACAACCTCGTAATCAATCTGTTTGGCATTCAATGCTAGTATAGTCCGTTGCGCGTACGGACAATATCTCATGTTGTAAATACGCAATTTGCCATTGTATGGAGGAAGCGGATCACCTGAAGATAAAAAAACATAACTTCAATAAGTACTTATAAACAAGATAATTCAGGAACTTAGGTTATTGTAATCTATAAATAATTTCATACAAGAAAATGCATATATACATAGACGAAATAAACGACATATTAGGAAATATCAGTCATTACAAAAATTCACTAGAATATTCTTTTTTTTTATGCAACTTAGAAGGAAACGAGCGAACGAAACGAGCTGACGACCCACCTGATGGAAAATGGTAAAATAGACATAATAGAGTATACTGTTTCGCCCATGCGTTGCCATTCCTGAGGACTAAGGTGTTATATCTCCGTATCCTGTAAATTCACTGCCATATCCCACCCTTCAAACCGAAACACAACTGTTGCACAGTAGAAACACGAATGGGACACAGGTACCCAAGCAAACGATTTTTGAAGTCGGGAGACTTCACCAGAACAGTGGGATCTGGTTAGAAAACTTTTAATATGAATGTACACAGACATCCATAACATTTTTTTAAGGATAAATATATTTTAGAGACAGAATAAATAGTCATGGGTACTACTATAGATATTTGTACTGTGTTTGTATTCTAAAGTGATAAGAACAAATTCGGTAAGTAGGAACATAACACCAAGGGTCGATTCTGAAGCACTGTTTCTCTAAGCCTATCCCTAAAATTAAAATTTCTATTTGATATCGTAGCGAAATCTTTAGTGTAAGGACCAATTTGAACTATTTTTCTAATATATTCAAGACACGATTATTAATTTTAGGTTATGATAATCCATAAAATAGTAATTTTGTGAAATTATCAATTTAAAATATAAGGTTAAAAGATAAGTTTAGAGAAATGGCACCTCAAAGTCGCCTCCAATATTATCCTATACTTAATAAAGAAATAATTAATTCAAAAACAAATATAAATAAACATATAAAAAGCTAATCTAACTACATCAAATACAAAATATAAGAAAGCTAACCTTTAGCCAAGTGTCTTGTATTGAAGTTGACATTGCCCTTGACCGCTTTGGTAGCCATGGTTTGGTAAGACGCGTATCCTAGTAAACGAGCTACTGGTCTAAGCACTCTAAACGACGTCATTAAAACATGAACTGCGAAGCTAAATGTTGATATTATCATTTCAAATATTATGGTGGGGGCACTGATACTTTACGAAAAAACTGCGAATCACTGTGATAGCATAATAAACCGGATTAATTTTATGCATTGTCATACCACGCCTGTCTGTAGAAATAACTAGACCTGATAATTATAATAGTCCACTATTACTAATATAATCAAAGGGATTAAAATAGCGATCTTACGCGATTCATATGATTAATTTCGTATACCCATAATATAACACTCTTAGCGTAAGATGCTTAGACATTTGAAATTAATCATGCTTTGTACAGTGATTATTTTAATACAGCAGATAACCTTGCGCAGACTAGACAAGTCGAGGGAGGGGATTGTTAGTAACAGGTTCAATGGCCCCGTTGCTAGTAATACACCGTCAGGTCGACCTCCACAGGATCTCCCCTAAAAACTATTATGGTTCATTCTTCGTAATTTCATCATAATAGAACAAATGTCCTAATTTTATCCTCGCCTATAGTTACAAGTCAATAGCGAAAGTAGAGTAGCCATTGCATTCTCATCTCATTAAAAAACCATAAAATACAATCATAACTAAACCTTAAATTTTTGTACTTCTTGCAATTTATCAATTTGCATAACCAAAATTTATAACTTGATAAATCAAGAATTTACCTGTGAGTGTACAATTTTGAACCTAATTTTATGTTATCTACTTAAACATGTAATATATACAATAATATTTATTTAAAAGTAAATAAAAAACAAACAGGCTTTTACACTATTTTATCCGCAGTATACGATATTTAAACTGATAAAATATTATGAATTTTATCTGATTTAATCTAATTTATTTATTGCTTGAAAATTATAACTAGCTGGCCAACCAAACGTTGTCTTGGTCTCCTCTTCCACTTATCAAATCCTTTTTTTTTCAACTTAATAAAAACTCCTCTCACAAGTTGGCAGCAAACAATACCTATTTACTAAATTCCATTACACATTGTAACAAGAGCTTTAACTTTTAATAATCATATAACCATTGTTTGTACTTGTGCATATAAATCGTTAAGTTTTGTGATAAGACAGTCGGTACAACTTCAAGATAAAGGTGCAATATTATTATTATATTATCCATTTGTATGGAGCATTTTAGAATTCAATTCAATTATTTGGAACCCTCATGAAACAAAATACAAGATAATGATAAAAAGAGTTCAGAGGAAATTTGCACGTGTTCTATATAGTAAACTTTACGGCTACTATCCTTATTTGTACCCATCACTGTTCGTATCCAGTATGGTAGGTGTAAAAACACTCGAGGTAAGGCTAAAGTGTAATTTGATGATGCACTATTATCGGTTGCTCAACGGCGGAATAGACAATCCTGCAACTCTTAGTCGTTGTTCTTTGTACGCCAACGCTGCATGCGATTGCGTGCTTGTCGACTACTATCGGCACCGCCAGTTCGCACCTGTACTGCTCAGTTTGCTCCTACTTATCAGGCTATTTCTCTGCTCAATCCTCTGATTGCTCAGCAGCCAGATACTGACATATTTAATGACAAAATTGATATATTTTTAAAATGTTGTATAAAATTTGTAAGTTTGTAAAATAAACCTATGGCTCACTACACGTTTTGGGAGACTGTAGTGTAGTGAGTAATTTTCAAATAAATAAATATAGTATCTTAATTAACGTAACCCATTCCTTAAAACTAGTGTTAGTATTCATTAAAAGGATGTCAAAAAAAATAACAGGTATATACATAAGTTATACTGTATTGCTGTTGGTACAGATATTTTTTTAGTTTTTGGTAATATATTTTTTTAAGAAAAAAAATAAATTGTGATCCTATTAATGAATAATAACTCTAGTTTTAAGGTATAATAAAATACTGTATATAAAAAATTTCAAGCAATAAATATCCTGTGGAAGATTTATTACTCTATCATTGAAATTTCCAGATAGATAAAGACAGACTACATAAAAAGAGGAAAATTCCTCGCCATTTTATATTAATTTACGGTTCTAACAGATAATAACAAAATAGAATAAATAATATATATTTTTGTATTACATTAAATATTCATTAACTATATAATATTTTGAACAAAATCAAATATTCTGTTGTACTTTTTATTATCAAAATAATAAACAATGAAATAACAATTTCACATAGAATTTATTCCTTCTTCTTCCTGGGACGCATACAGCAAACATCACTTGAATCCAGCATGTTGTAATCAGGGTCACCTTTAGCTCGTGATTCAGTGAACTTAGCATGAGTCTCTGGAGCTAGACGATAAGCTCTAACAGCAGGCACATTTTTCATTGCCTCAATATAGGTTGTCTACAACAAATTGATATTTTTATACTTTTATAATCTCATTTATAATTTTATCTAAGTCAAAAACATTTATTGTAACTTTTATACAAATATCCAAAATAATTCTTTAATAAAAGCATAAAAAAAATGTTTTTAAATAAGTAGATACTTACTAAAATTCCATACTTGGTCTTGTCAATTGCAAATTCTGATTTACCAAGCAAAGGAAGAGCCTCAAAACGTTCCAAGAAAGGCCAAATTGTGTAATCAACTAAACCAGGCTCATTTCCATTCAAATATTTAGTACCGCGTGTCTCTAATTCCTTTTGTAGTCCATTCAATCCTTTGTGATAGTTCTCAACCATGGAGGGCTGCAGGGCTGGTGCATTGAAGGCAGCTGTGTAATATGCTGATTGAGCCTAAACATAAGTTTGAATGCAACATATTATTATTTAATTAGATACTGGTCATTATAATTAGATATGACCCTGTGGTTTTTTATTATCACTTTATGAAACATTATCAATTCCACACACAAAGTACAATTGATAGTAATTATAAATTTTATGGAATAATATTACAAATGTAAATATATTGTTGACAAATAACAAAATTAATCCACTAATACCATTTATATCAATAGATAGTTATGAAATTATTATTGTCTATAGAATAACAAAATTTGTTACTAGCATAGCTATCCAGGTATAGGCAAAAATACAAAAATAGATACATACAGCAGAGAAGTTCTCAACCACCAATTTGTCTTGAGCTCTGCGAAGTGGGTCAGAAGATTGTAATGGCACATCTGGATATTTTTCATCCAAGTACACATTGATGATGTTGCTATCAAATATTGCTTTGCCTTGCTCATACTCTAGTGCTGGCACAGTACCTATATAAATAAATATATGCTTGACAAAATGTAGGTACTTTTTTTAAGCAAAGAACACAATGACAAGTCTATAACCTGAAACTCGCTATTATTGTGATATGGATTTTCCCTTACATCCCATATTATGAAGTGTAATTGGCAATTCTCATGAACATCTACATTTTAAAACTACACTAATGATAAAAAAGCTAATAATAATTTTATACAATCTGGATATTCTCCACTTGGTGATATATTCTTATGCATCTTGGTCTATATATTATCTAATAAATTTGCAATAAGTGATTTTAATTAGGTGTTTTTATATAATGATGCATATAACATGTTTTTACTATTATAAACAGGAAAGAAAACTTAAATATTATATGATAGCACCCTCTCATAATTAGATCTATTTTGCATTACAATGTGGTGGTAAAAACATTAATATTACTATATCATATAAATTGCCACTGATAAATTTACCTTTGGGGCTGAAGTTAAATAACCATTCTGGTTTATGATCCAAATTTATAAACACTAAATCATACTGCAAATTTTTAGCATTCAAGACTAAAACACTTCTTTCAGCGTAAGGGCAGAATCTCATTGCGAAAAGGCGCAATTTTCCACTATATTGAGGTAGAACATCACCTAAAATGAAAAAAAAATTGATGATAAATACATATCTCTGTAGCAGTTAATAGGATCAAAAACATCTGACACTGCATCAACGGTTGCAGTTTAGAATATTTTAACCAAATATTTCAATAGTTAAAACAAAATTATTCTGTAAGCAGGTATGTTAAAAACGACTTATGTTTTAAACAGGCGTGAAATTTTGCAATAATTATGTACCTACTATATAAGATTAATTGTAATTAATAATAAATATTCTCGCTTATTTATTCACTTACGTATAACAATAAAAAATATACTTATTGAATTATATCTTACCGGTTTGTAAATGCTTCTCAGACATTTTAAAATCAAATCAAATTCCTTTTACGATATAAATTATACCAATGTTAGTGTGTAACAACTTTTACTCGTGACTGCAACAGGAAAGAACGATAAAATGTAATGATTGTGTGTTCAACGAGGTGAAAAAGTAAAGCACAAATAATTTAAAAAGTAATCGTTCACCTACTTAAAGAACTGTGAACAAAATTCGAATGCTTGCTGTCAATACATCAGTCATACTCAATCAGTCAGTGATTGACAGCTACGACAGTAGTAATACTATTAATTTATCTAGAATGGACAAGGCAAAGGAATTAAGCTATACAGCCTGATTTTCAGTAGAAAGTTTAGGATATCCTCTTTTTATAATCGGATTTGGCTTGGAAGGATGTCCTTTTACCAATCCATATTTATATTTTTCATTGATACTCATCCGATATCCTCACTCCTCACATAAAACTATGTTAATTTTTTTTTATGAGTGAAAATGGAATGATAACCCCGCCTGCGTTGACGGGATACGCTAGCGGAGCACCAGTGATGGGTGATTGATGAGAATGAAAACAGGCCAGTTAGCCCATCATGATTGGGTTCAGGTCAGGGATCAGGGTTGGTTGGCGACCTGGTTGGGTATATTGCTATGAATGGGATTCTTAGTCTCCATTACTAGTAATCCCTTTCCTCTCTGTTAATTATATTAGAAAACTGTATCTCTTAGAAATAGATAAAACATTTTCTTAGAAAATTTTTAAGAGCTTTTATACCATTGAAATCATAATGAAGATTTAAAAGTACTTGTAAATAAATCTATTTTAATAAAGATAAGTTGAATTATGCAATCATCCAGACATATCAACACAATAAACTAAATGAATGTTCAATTTCATAGTTTTGTACAACTATTTATTGCAATATATCTCTACCAAAATAGCAATATCGACGGAAATTACCTAAAGTAAATTACAAAATAGGTATTTTGGTATTTGCTACGAAGACAATAAGATATGCCAGTATTAAAAAGGGAGATATATGTGTGATATACTCATTAAAGCTTAGATTGCAAGTTCCTCACTTCAAATCACTCCACTGCACGTTCGGGTGGGTGGTCGTGCGAGTCGCATTGACATATTATTGTTATTTATACACTTAGTTACACACTTATACTCAAAGAAATATATTCTTTGCATACCCGGAAGATAACACAAACAACGGTCAATTTTCGTTGATAAAAAAGATAAATTAAGGATGGGTAAATGGACAGACAATACAAGTGTTAAAATTTTAATATTATAGGAATAATAATGATTATACTATAATAATACACGGATAGTATAAAATAAAATTTGTATTCAATAAATATTCACACAACCAAAACTTTAACAATTTATCAGTAATGTGCTTTTTTCATTTCACATATGAATCTGCATTACATTATTAGGTATTAATTAATTAATTATTATTAGGATAATTCTATTTTTATTGAAGATTCTATTATTATTGAAAAAGCAATATTCAAAATAAACAATAATATTTTGAGATTCCATAATTTAATAAACATAACTTGAAATGGGTACGATCTTTAGAGATTAGCAGAGGTCTCATAGAGATGCCATATGAATAATAAAGCATCGCATAAAATTTGACTATGGATGGCCAATTGGCTTTTCACGTCTCCTTAGATAGTTTTTTTGATTTTTTTTTTATTACAGGTATTATTTGCACTTTCTTTCATATCATAATGGGTTTTTGTTTTTATGCCGAATAGTTTTCGACTTATAATAAAAGCTCGCCTCACTCTCTGTGTGTGTTTTTTCACTCTATGTGTGTCTATATCCAATCAAAATTTTTTTTTTTATATAATATCACTAAGGGGCATGTAATACCCAAGTTACGAAAATGGTATAATAGAAAATAAATAAACCTACTAGAGCTATAGAATTTATGAAACTGAACTAATTTTCCCCAAGAAACACAGATTGAAATAAGAAAACAATTTTTTACAATAAATAGGAAAGTGTTCAAGTGACCTAATATTTTTAGGAAAAGTTATTCAGTTATATCCACTAATCCCCTCTTTCTGATCTCCGCGTATAATTTCAGTCAATAATTTTACAACTATTTTTCACCGGACAAAGTTGGGCGTATCGTATCTATTATACGTGCAACTGAGACATTTTTAATGTATTATGTGTACTGATACATAATACATTAAAAAATTGCTTAGATCGGTACAAATAGACATATTGATGAATACAAATTTTTTTGTTGTACAGAGATTGAACCCACAACGAATGGAAAAGAACACACAGTGTTACGAAATACAGTATTATATCGCTAAATCCTCAATCGTCAAAATAAATATTTGCAGTTCCTTATAATATAAAGTTACAAACAATAAGAGTCACTTAAGTACATAATAGGAAGCACTAAAATACTCGTGAATTACAACAGATATTTCAGATGAATGCCTTGGAAATTCAGTATTTTTTTTAACTAGCTTTTACCCGCAACATCGCCTGCGTAAATCAGTAAATGGATAAAGTGTCTTATGTGCTAAGTTAGGATATAATATAGCCGTATATCAAATTACATTCAAATCCGTTCAATAGTGAAAGAATAACAAACAACAATCCATCCTTGCAAATTTTCGCATTTATAATATTAGTAGGCTATATGTTACCTTATAAAGAAAATAATGGTGATAGCTTTTAAATACTACTAGTGACGGAACAACATAAATTCAAATACGAAGGCAATAAATACAACCTGCTATAATACAAAAAATGGCTTAAACAATCACAAAAGAATGTTTCCTTTACATAATAAAATTATAATTAATTTATAACACAACTTTACTACTTGCTACGTTTTATTCGACCTTTTGTAAACATTAATTAGATTAAACGGGAGCAGGTGTTTACTTTGTTCGTTATTGCACTTTGTACACTCCTAAAACAAAACCTATTTATTTAAGTACAATAGATAGAGGATAAACTAACATTAAAATATAATTTGGAATGTATAACATTATCAATTATTATAAATGTCCTTACTTAACTAAGGTTAAATAATTACAACATGTTATTGTTAGCATAGAGAGTATTTATTAAAAATAAACGACTAAATTTTAAATATCACTTGAAGCAAAATATCAGGATAAAAATACATTTAAAATGATTTCCTTTGTCAACCTTAAAAAAGAATTTGCACTATAGTATTAAAATATTATTCTTCTATTATCTACCTATCATTACTTAACAATTGTCTATGATTCACTATTGAATATAGACTACAAATTACCTGTATATAAGTTTTTGTCTAATACTTCAATTTATCTTTAATTCCACTGCAGATGTGCCGCAGTACTAACATTTGTGCTTATAATTTCTCAAAGAAAGACATACAACTTTCAACATTATTTAAGTATGTTACATACTATATTAACGGTCAGCACATGTATGTTATATGTCAAATATATGTTATATTAACAGATCAATTTATGCAATTTTCATAATACCTGAGTGACCAAGTAGTAGTCTCTTTCCCGTTTTAACTTTTTTATTACTATCGGTTTTCTAAGCTAATTTTATGGAGAAGGAAAATTTCATTTTTCTTTTTTGTAATGGATCGAGTTAAAAAATACTTAACAAAATGGGCTGTATTTTATTTAAAAAAGAAACCATGTAATGCCTAGCCGAGACGCTACTTACAAAATGAATGAAGAATCAAATGACAATTTAAGATTTTGGTGCACAAAAAAATTGTTATGACGAAATCAATATGAATTCTGTAACAGTATTATATTAAAAAGTAAAAGTATTAAAAAAAATAAAAAGTAGCTTTATTTAGTTTATATATGGCAACATTCTACAAAATTTTAGGGGAAGACCCGATACTTGCATGCAGGAATATTCCGACATGTATATAATACTGTTACTATTCAAGATTAACCTGTTTCAAATAAAAATATTATGAAAATTGCTTAAGAATCGGTGTTACATACACACAAAAAAAAATACTTGGACTAAAAGTAAAAGAAAACTATTAGAAGGACATATTTTAATATGTTCCTATGAACACTAATTTCCATGGTGTATGCTGTACTGAAAACGTGCAGTAATATATGGAAGTAATTTTTTTTTTTATAATTGTTAGGTTTTCTTTTTAAATATGTTCTGTAAATTCATATTACTTTTAGACTGTTGAAATATCTGCGTGACTCGCCTGCCGACCTCCTGCGCAGCTTGCAGGTTAGAACGCGGGCCGAGTGTCACGCGGCGGTTCCGGAGAACCTGCCACGTTGTGCAGTAGTACCTCAATAGCGGGCTTAAACTGCGACAGCGATGGTGCTTGCACAATCTCTTCTAGTTTTCTATAAAAATATTTATTTATTAATTTAAACACTTTATTGCACCAATATTATAGGATTTGTTGAAAAATTTTCAATAAGTATAGTGTACTACAAAAGGTGGTCTTATTGCATAACATTAATTTCGTGCTATACTTTTTTTATTATAAACTATAACAAAAAATATTTTTATTATTATAGTCAATTTAAATAGAACTTAATGAAATATTATTTCTATGAAAATAAAACAAATCATTAAAATTGGTTGACCGGTTTTGATTAATGTGAAAGAATTAAAGTGAGTTATATAAATCTCTATAAATTAAGATAATGATACCTGAGCGCAGGTAGCAGGGCGGAGTGGTGGCGACAGTGGTGTTGTGCAAGTTGCAGGCCCGGCAACAGAGATGCCACCGTCTCTGCTGTCGTCGCGCGGTGACATAACTCGCATAGCATGCTCACCGCTGCAATATATGTAATATGTTATTATACCTTTTTGTTCGCCAATAGTAGTAATATAAAGATATCACTAGTAGAAATATATAATGTGGGGATAGTCTGTGCTAGGTCAAACAGTTAACAGGTTACGTTACGTATAGTACCGTCTTAGATTATATAGACAGAGCATCAAGTGTCAAAAACGTGTCAAAATTTGGTCAGTTAAATAGAGATTTGACTGAATCAATTTGGCTAACATATTTTTTTTTTAAACCAAAACATAACGACCTATTAATAAAATAAAAAATACTACAATACTCGTAATTGTGTGAATTATGTTGTTTTATTTGGGATTTCAAAACTATGTAATTTATAAATTGCACAGGGTTTCGTCAGTAAACAGTAGATCTTGAGTCTAGTAAAGTCGACCACCCCTGAACTATATAATGTATTACTTAACCATTGCTGTGGATGTCTGAACTGCAGTAACATAGATTTAATTTATATATTAATTAACTCAGGTTAATGATTTATGTACATTAATTGTTATAATTTCTTTTACACATGCATTTATATTACTTACACACATCCACTCTAATTTCCTACCTACTTTACTTTATAATTATAATTTTCGTTTATATAATTAAATTACATAAAATCCGTTACTGTGGATTTTTGTAATAAATAAATAAGTTTTTTTTTTAATGAGTGATAATGGAATGGTATCTCCACCTGCGCTAACGGTATACGCTGGTGGGGCACCAGTGAGAATAGCGAGTGATAAATAAGGATGAAAGCAGGTCAGTTAGTCCATCGCGAAGAATACCACGAGACATAACCACGACGCTTGTCAGGAGGAACTACGTGGAGATCGACCTGATTAGTAACACTTCCAGCAATGGGGCTGATAGACCCCATCGCTAACAATCCCTCTCCCCCCAATAAGTAAGAGTAGAGAGTAGTGTAGAGTGAAGCAGAGCTCAGTTACCGGTGTCAGCGCGCGAACGGCCGTCGGGCGTGGGCAGCACGAGCAGCGCGAGCGCGTCGGCGGCGCGCGCGAGCAGTCGCGCAGGCATCGGCGCGGACAGCGGCGCGCGCGCGGCCGCCCAGCACGCCGCCGCGCACGCCCAGCCGCGCGCCGAGCTCGCGCGCGTCGCCGCGCCCCACGCCGCCAGCGCCGCCTCGCGCACGCTCCTGCACACATTACAAATACAAGTTTACTATTTGACAAACACACAAATTTACATTCACAAGATACGACCCGTCCCACACCACCACAGGCGAACCTGTATCGTGGGCAACCGATTAACAAAGATAACAATTCATAATTTGTTATAATAAAAAGTATATAGTGGGCGGATATTAATATAAAAGAAAGGGAATTGACATAATGATCATTTGCTGATCAGGCAATCTCGAAAATTTGTAACATTAGCGCAATTAATAAATATGGCAATGATTAATTCTTATAAACTGAAAAGAAAGAATAAAAACTACAATCAACTCACAGGTCGTCGTCGTTGAGTAGCGCGGTGACAGTCGGTAGCACCTGTCGCTCGACGCAGTCCTGGCTCACGTCCGCTGAGTTGAGCAGCTCGACGATCAAGTTTCCTATGTACACGCGAACCATGGCGCCACTACCGCTCTCGCAACTACTTGCTGAAACTGCAAACAACAATGCTGTATTGTCATTGTATTAAAAAAACTAAACAATTGGTGACTTATAAGTCACTAGGACAATTTCGTTACTATAAATTCATATAAAATACACTTTGATTTATTTTATTACAGTTTTTATATGAATAAAAACAATATCTTGGAATAGTTGAGATTAATTTTTTTTTCTAACAATGTATAACTCCACGATAATAATATATTATTTTATATTTTTAATATATTATTTCATATATAGTGCAATAAGCCAATAAGTACGCGCGCGTACATTAAGACACAATGTAACATTTACTCTACTACATCTACTACAAGTACTCATGAAGACGATATTGTTAGAGTGACGAATATAATTCGTGCGTGTTAGATGAAATACATCAATGTTGCTACACTATAAATTTAGAGGCGTAAGGTGACAGTCTACAGCACCACACACAATTTGACTCAGCTGACTTACATTCTCTAAGTTCCTGTAAGTAAAATTCAAGCGTTTCAAGTCGATGCTTCGCCACCCACTTCAATGGTATTGAGAATATCTTGGTTGGGAGGCCACGAATACTGCTATACATAATCCATCTGTAAAAATATTTTTATTTGTTTAATTTTGTGAAAGCAAACTTCTAATATACTATGAAACCTTAATTTCAGACATATATAGAGATAGATGGCACAATTGTTGCAGTATAAGTGAATTACACATAGACATTCCGTATCGAAATTTATAGCATATTGTCTATGGTTAATTTATGGTCAAATATTGACATTAAATCAATAATTAAGGCAAAACGATTGCGTTATCTATTAATACTTCTATTTTTTTATTCAAGATGTTATTAATTTGTTATCTATTTACTAGAAGTGACAATAAAAAATAAAACATACTTTTGCAAAAATTCTCCGTGCTGTGTCTTATCTTCAAGCGCCGGCAATATAGCCACCAAATACAGCCCAACCACAACAGTACTATCTACATTAATACTATGTAATTTTTCCATTTTATGTTCTAAATCCACAATAATATCAGTAAATATAGGCTTCAGCATATTCAAAGTGACGTGAACACCGAAATTTTCTATGTAACTACTAAACAGTGTTATAAGGTGCTCATATAAAACAGAATGATTTAATAACTTATTACTTGTTGACACATCTAGAATTTGTTTCACTCTGAAATAAAAAAAAAGAAGATCGTGTAATATTAATTCTATTAATAATATTTTCCTAAGAGTAGTACAAAAAGGAAATTTATTTAAAAAGTTTAGTTTTTTTTTTTATTTATTTTTTTAGCAGGATATGACACGCAAGTAAGCGCAAGTCCACGACTTCAATTGTGGTAAGCCCAGTTATTTTAATTTAAAAACTAAACTACTGGACCGATTTTGACAACATTTCTATGACACTAATCTAACTATATACTTTCAGATAATAAATAATTTTCCAAATAGGTTTATAATGGAAGAAGCTATGAGGTAACAAATATGTTAAAAAAATAAAACCAAATTGAGAACCTTTTTCTTTTTAAAGTCAGTTAAAAATTAGTGAATATAAAATTAATAAAGTTATACTTACAAATGAATAAACCACGTTAACTCTGGCCATCTGACATCCGGTTTCTCTTTGATAAGATTATTCATTGCCACTAATAAAGCCTTCAGGTCCGTACCATTCGTTCCGTAACACTGTATATCTAAAAAGTAGTCTTGATCACACTCCAAGGGCACTTCTTGTAAATTAATTGACATATCACTATTTCCGATGTTTACATCTCTAATTATTTGTACATTTACTACGTAGGCCAACTTGGCGAGAACTAACACTCGCATCACATCTAAATACAATATAGCAGTCTTCCAATCATTGTCTGACAATGATTTAATGAAATTCGTTATCACACGGCTACACAGATCTGAGGACAACTTTCCTGTAATATTACAATTCAGTTAATATGTTATTTAAAAATAAAGTCTCCAGAACTGGGAACGTTTGAAAGTTATGAAAATGAACAAAACAAGAAATGTATAGAATAATATAGTATATAAATATATAAAATGTTTCAATAGAACTTAAAGACAATGTAAACAAACAAATAACTGACCCAAGATGGTCCGATGATAATTTAATATAGTAATATAAAATCGATTAATCAATTGAATTTTTATGTTTGCTTCACATTTTATTTAAACTGTTCCTGTGTATTAAGCACTATTGAAACAGACTATATATAACATACCAAACATACCTGCAATCAAAGCATTCCTCGCTAGTACAGGAACAAATATATTAACTGTATCTTTTACATTTTTTTCTAATGGATCTTTCAGGAAGTTGAACATGAGATTCTCCAGTTGTCCGTATTTATGGTCTGCTACTGGACAAATTAGACACGCAGACTTCAATCCTAGACTTCTGATTTCTCCTTCGTTGGATTCACACATCAATACTACTAAGCTCAGAAGTAGAGATGTACATAACTCGATGGGAACGTATGGCGCGATGGCAACGCATATCTGGCTCGCGAGTACGCGACGCTCGATAGATCTGGAGGTTAATAGTTCTGCTATGGATGATAAAACTTCACCGCTGCCTCCCCATTTCACTATAAGACAGGTAGCTGAAATATAATAAATGTTAATTATCTAAGAAGTAAAACTTTCAAAGTCCACGCATGAAGTTGCGAGCATAAGCTACATCGAACGCGATTTCAGAAATAGGAAAACCAATGAAATAAACAATTTCATTGGAGGGCGATGGATGGCTATAGATGGCGCATCAAGATGAATCTTACATCAAACTTATACGTTAATGATTGATTACCTTCGCATATAGCCCTGGCGTCGTGCGGCTCGGGCTTCTTAAGGAGTGTAAGCAGCGCATGCAGCAGGCGTGCGCGGCGCGGTTCAGCCGCAGGCAGTAGCGCCGCCGCCGCCGCCAGTAGAGCCACCGACTCGCAACGCCGCGCTGCCGGCACCTGACCCACTAGCTGCAAAATTACACACCGCGCGATCACACACCCTCCTATATTTTCCCGAGAACTAGTGTTATGCCTCCGTACCCTATATTCTACCTTCCAAGCCTAAACACTGCTATATAACACACAGCTGCTTAGTGACAAAAACACGTATAGAACATAGGTAGGTACTCATATAAACGATTTTTTTACGAAGTCTCCCTTCTCTTCGAAAAAAGATATATTTAGGAGCTAGGTTCAAAATAAGTCAGATACAAAATAGTACAGAAGTAAAATTATTGATTTACTTAAGAAATTATTTTAGAGGAGAGTGATAAAATTAAAAATTGTTACAAACTTACGCGAGGCAAAGTATCAGCTACCAATGTTAGAAGACCAGGTAACGTGATTGGTTTTTCATTGTTCACCAACTCCGAAAGAAGATCATTAGCTAGTGGTTCATGTAGATTTAACGCCTCACAGCACCAGTTCAAGATTGACACCTTTAGATTATTAGGGATGTCACTACAAAATAAAATAATAAACTACATTAAATTGTTATTAGAAGTTTCTTTACTTATTCTTATTAAAGCGCTTCATCTCATTAAAGGTCATTTTTGAAAAGTTATTCCTAGATTATATTAACAATAAATTTGAAAAAATAACAGAAATTTAATAAAGACAATATCTTTCATTTTATAAAAATCGATATTTTGCCAAAACCGATAAACACATTTTCAAGATTCATACACGAAAAAAATAATTATAGCAGATGCTTTTTTCTTTAATTTAATAATAATTTAAGAATTAATTCAAATATATTCGATAAGATTTCGATATGTTGGTTGTTCGTTTCATCATAACGGAATTGTCAACAAATGTCTCTGACAACCGTATTTAGGACTGCAGTTATATGGATATTTATTATTTACACTGCGCGCTCCACATAACCGGGATATATTGACTAGGATAAAAAGTAGCCAGCATCCTTCCCCATCTAAAATACTATGTGTAAAATCAATTTCAAGACGATTAATTGTTATTATAACACATCAAGAGAATACAAACTCATTATCACATTTATAACATTAATAAGTATATTGCTATTGTCATAAAAAAAGGTACCTATCGACAACCAGCTGGCGAGTAACGCTTTTTTATTTTAAATTTATTTGTACCTATGCTTTGAAAAGGTTTTGTTTACATACACCTCAATAATCAACTTCTGAGCACTTTTGCATGACGATACAATTAAACACTCTATCATCGCAATTATATATATATGTATATATATATAGAAATATCTCACCTGTCAATCCACATTTCTTTACTGTTATTTTCAATATTGTTGTAAACGTACTGAACACGGGTCCATTCTGTACCATCATTGATGCTTAAAGTTTCGTCCAATGTAGTGACACTGCTACGACGTAGGGGTGAATCTCTCGAGCTCTCACCCAAAATGGCTGGATCAAACGAACTCGTATTCGATCCTTCTTTTTGTACTCTGCTAAATACAAATTTTATTAAAAAAATTATAACTAGTCACTATGTAATGAAGCATTCAGGGTAGATACACGTGCATCCCGCATTGGACCGAAATAATTAAAAATATGTTTATAGAATGTACGCTAAATAAAATTGGCGAAATGCGAAATCTCATTACATCCTATTGCTAGCAATATATTTTATCAGGTAGTCCTCCACACAGTTCCTCTGGAAACCATCATGGTTAATTATTTTTGAATACCTCACAATGGGCCAATTGACCAGATTTTCCTCGCCTATCATCCCTCACTAATAGCTTAGCCATGAGTAGCATACAGTAAAGTTACAACTTACACCACACTGTTTTTTTCACTGTCTATTATCTCGAACTGCTCTGGTGTTGCACTATGGGTCGAGTTGCCACTGCCGTAATGGTTCTCTGTGGCAGTACATGTTAAAGGTTGATGTTCAACTTGATCAATGGCCAATTGAACTTTTAACATTTTATCATCAGGAATATTGAGCTCTAGTACTTTGCTATCTGTTGTTGGGCTTGTCAGGGAATTTAAACTGACAATTGCAGCATCATATAGTTTCTGGAAATTCAGCTTTTCAGTCTCCAAGGCAATCACTTTCTGTTTTAAGAGCTCAATTTCTTCAGCTTGGATTAGAAGCTAAAAAAAGTAATAAGATTAATGATGGATTAAAAACAACAGCATTCTTCATAGTAGCATTTCATTATCTGTCACTTGAATTAAAAAAGTAAACACTCCCTACAATATGGTAATTATCTATTGCTTGAATTTAGAATTATAGTTTAATACTAAGTTAATCATATTTTCATTTTCTTATATATTTTATTCCAGGCAACAAATTTTATAATATGTTATGTAGGACAATATTTAAGAAAAAAAATATTTAATTTTAAATATTATACTATAAATAATAAATACCTACTTTTAATATTTTTGTTTTATTTACACTATTACTGACCTCATGATTCCAGCCTGCATCATGATCTAAAGAAGTCTGACAACTGACACACACATTTCCTTCTTCCAGATCTGTCTGACATTCACTGTCTGCATTATGCTGATCAACTTGTGTAGCAGCATCAACTTTTGGTATGTTCAATGCTGTTGAGTTTCCCCAGAACAAAGATACCAATCCAGCTGGTCTTGGCATGTTTAGACCTACATCATCCCAATCTTCAAACTCCTAAAAATAAAATTCATCTATGTATCACCCTTAAGTGATCTATAACCACCTGATATGTTTTTAGAATTCAAATAAAAAAGTATAGTATTTGTTGTGGAAATTGGCAACTGACATACACACAAAAACTGTATGCTAAAGCTAATATATTTCTCTTATGATGGATAATTATTAATAAATTGATATTATACTCTATTATAACAGTGTTCACATGTCATCCTATTATGAAAAAAAATATATACCTGATCAGGATTTTCGTCTGAAAATGTAATGGAAGTGAGTTTATAATCTTGCAGTAGAAGGTACTCATTGACAAGGAAGTTGAGGGCTCTTTTCTCATGGGGCTTCAATGAACGCTGATTGAATTTATCTTTTGAAGATTTATCTAGAGCTGTGTCTCCATCTAGAACATACATATATGAAAAGGATTTTTAAATGTTTCTGATCATTGAAACATCTATGTTATTTTGACTAAAGGGCTTAGAAAATAAACTCTTTGTGCAAATACTTCAGGTCTCAACAAGAAATCCTGATTATTTTGAATCATATAAATATTTATTGAGTTCAATAGAAAGAAATTGTTTACATTAACCCTTAACAATATCTCTTTTCAACATTATCATCATTACTTAAATAGCTACAATACATATAGAACTGCCATAATTTTTTTACAGTTTTAGTTTACATAAGATATTTCAGACAGTTTAATATTCTTATTACTTATACAGATTTCTTAAAAGAAATACCTGACCAAAACCAATATGAATTAATAAAATCAATCAATAACTATTGTTAGGTTAGGTAAAATGTTATATGTACCTGCAAATTGTGTCAAATTAGCTCTAAGAGCATTTATAGTCTCTCTAGCTTTTCGTAGTTCAAATTCCAAGACTGCCACATCTCCTCCACTTCCACCACGATCACCACCCCCATCTTCAGAGTACCGTGCAGTGTCCAATGAATCTAAGGTGGCCTGACTTGGAGTCCGATCTAAAATTTTTTTATACAACTTAAAATGGCAAACAAGCTAACGGCCCACCTGATGGAAAGTGGTTACGGTCGCCTATACATATGAGCAGTACCATGGACATAACAGAGTATACTGTTTCGCCCATGATACCTCCCATGCATTGCCATTCCTGAGGACTCAGGTGTTATTCCTCTGTACCCAGTAAATACATGCCATATCCCACCCTTCAAACTGAAACACAGCCATGCAAACACAGACACACACATGCACACATGCTTCACGGTTGAAACACGAATGGGATAGAGGTACCCAAGCAATCTACTTTTGTACAAAGTCTCCCTTTGTTTACAGAGTATGAATTGATAAGCATACTTTATTTGCATTATATAAAATCCTACTATTATAATAAAACTAACTGTATTCCATGGTTTCACCCGCATAAATCGGTACATAAAGTGTCCTATGTGCATATATATATCATATTTCAAATTTCATTCAATTTTTTTCAGTAATTTTTGCATGAAAGAGTAACACACATCCAGGCATCATTACAAACTTTTTTTTTTATTAAATAATAAGAGGCTAAATGGATTTGAATTGAAATTTCATACATAGGTAGATTATTAATGCAACACATATATACTTTTATTCTTATTTCTCATGGTTAAGTTATGGAATGCAGCTAATAGAGAATAAAAAAAAAACAATTAGAATATTTGTTAAATTAAGTAATCATTATAGATTACTTATTAATAAAAATATCAAATAATAATATGGTCTTTGATAGGTATTCTGGGTAATTTTTTTTAATCTTAATTAGGGACTCCTTTTCATTTTAAATATTCCAGTTCTATCACTTAAGTTTAATTTATCAGCATCACTATAATTCTGCATTATTGAGATTTCTACTTCTTTATTTTAATGGCTGAAACCAATTCATGTTGTTGATTTTGCCAACATAACAGTTGAAGAGAGAGTCTATCACTATATAGTTGTTTTCTTATTCTATTAAATACATTATTGATTTATGAAATTAAATTACAATAAAGTCCTGTTTATCTAAATCATGTTTATCCAATGTCCATTTCATCTGAACAATTTTTTCCTATATATATTTTATGTACTTTATAGAGTTTATTTTTTTATTCAAATAAGTAGATAGTGAGATTAAAATTCCTATTTTTCCATGCAGAATAAGGTAGATAATTTCTGTAAGAATACAAAATAAATTTGTTTTGGTATTCAGCAGTAACAAACTAAGATTTCAATCATAGTTTGGTGCATTTTTAACATGTCAACACAAAATTTTTTTACACAAAAACATGCAGAATTATTCACAACTTTATCAATAGCATACATATGCAGTTTGACAATCATATTTTGCAGTATTAATGCAATTTGGGGTGTTTCAGGGGACTTCAGTTTATCTGAAATTTTCATTATCTAAATCGGCTGCCATTCTGATTATTTTGGATAAACAGGACTTTATTGAATATCGCTTAATATACACAGGTAAGATGAGTAGATCTATTGTAATCCTATTAAAAAGGTAAAAGTTTTATGTTAAATTATATTTGAATATTAATGTCCAAGTGTAAAAAGATATACAATTTATATTCTTTACTTTTGATTACTGTGCTTGTACAAATGACTGCATAGAATCCTATACCTTATTAAGCATATATGATTTCAGCATATTTCTGTTTGAATACCCTAATTTCTAAAATCCTTAGGTATAAATTAATTATAAACACATTTGCAATATTTCATAAATTTATTTTTAAATAGTACCTGACAGACTTCTTTATATTATTCTTAAAAGTATTTAATATTCATGTATTTTATGTTTTTTTTTCCTTAGTTGTAATTTATTATTTATCTTTTTTGTTTAATTTGTTATGGATGATAATGGAATTGAATATCTACCAGCACTATCCATATGCATATGCTAGCAGGTTACCAGTGAAACACTTTGATTTTAGCTAAAAAGGCTATTATATAATTAATGGTGATATGAGAGGATAAAAACAGGGTGACAAATTGACTGGAAATTGATCATGATGATTTCCAAAGTTAATGTGTGGTCGACCTTATAGGGTATATTACTAGCGACAGTTGTATTTGGTAGTTTCCACTAGTAACAATCATTTCTTGTCCCCTCTTTTTATTGTGTTAATGAGCTGACCTTAGCGACATTTTATATATATTGTGGGTCAGTGGATCCCCTTGTCACTCGAAGATACTAACAGCAAGTATTTTTAGCTACTTACGCATAGAACTGAACTCGGACGCTCGAGATACATGTTGTTCGAAGTTGCCTGGATTTGAAAAAAATTCTCTAAGCTGAGGCAATTCTTTTCCACTTTCTACCAGCTCTGTGTGTAGTTCTAGTGCTGTTAGAAAGTAATGGTCTCTCAGAAGCTTAGTCGCGATATCCTCATAAGATAGATGAGGTGGTGAAACGAATGAACTCCCCTCGACATCCTTGTAAGGATTCATTTTACTGCTCTTTTATCACATCACAATTTAATTAAGTAGCAAATATGAGACTACAGTTAGGTTTTGGATCCATAATTTCTTAAAATATTTATTTAAGACAATAATTACAATATTTATAAGTATTATTTTTATTTACTGCACACACTTAAAGTAGCGAATAGCGATGTAGCGATTTGTAAATCTAATAACCAGCTATATAGCAACTATTTAAAAAATAGTAACTGATAAATTATCAGTCGGTACAAATAACTAGTTAGTAAATTATAAAAACAAATAACTCGAATATTTTCTCTATTTTTATGGATTTTTTACTCTATCAAAATATCATGTTCACTATTGTTTAGTCATGAATAAACGATAAAAAAGATTATTATTTCTTTTGGGGGTCTACCATAAAATAAAATTCTGAATTTTTTAACTAAATTTCGTGTCTCTGTTTGACAAAATCGGCCCCGTAAATGGAGCTCAACATTTTGTTTGTCATAATTCCTACCATAAAAATTTAGAAGAACGATATTTTGATATTTTTTATATTTTTAAACAATATGTAATATATAATTTTAACATCAATTTGTGTTCTTTTTTTATTTACTCATTCACATTAAAAATAATATTTTAGTTAAAATTTTCTTTTTAACGTTTATTTTTTATAGTTAGGATAAATTTTCAGGTATTCTTGTATACAACGTAATAAAAATTGTTTTTGTTCCTTATCAACAAAAAATTAATCCATGAAAGTCTTGCATAAACTTAACCACTCTTTCGGCTACATCGTTTACTAACCCAAAATTTTCTTTCTAGTTCACAAAGGAGGACATTCATGTAAAAAAACTATTTTAAAATGAGGCGATTGTACAAAGACTTGCTTTTTACTAAAATAAAGTCAGAGATGCTTTTTTTCTGAATCAAAATAAGAAAAAAGTGTTAAAAATATATATTTTTACAGAAAACGTAGGTAAAAATTTCTATAACTATTAATGGCAATGTTCTTTAATAAATTTACCACACAATAAACCGCAAAGTTTTTCTTTCGATGGAATATATCGTTTTTCGTAAGTTATTTTCTCTTTGGTTAAATTATTAACCATTTTAACTTTAGTTTCTTGATTCACATTATCGTCAATTTCATTCATTGATTTCAAAAAGCACAAATCTTGGTAAAGGGTTTTTATGGCTGAAATGCATTGGAGCCATAGTTTAATGTAAGATGTTACAATAAATAAGCAAATAAATCTTATATAAATTATTTACCTGAAGTTGCGAAACATGAATGTGTATTGTTCGTTGATGACATTTCTGTTACTATTACATGTGACTTAGAGAACTTAGGAAGTTTTGAAGATGACATTAAGCTATTAGTTAATTCCATCATACAATGGCTTAAAGAAAATAATTTTACTGTGAATCTAGATAAAACCGGACATATTAAATTTAGAAATATCGGTGAAACTGACCTTTGACTAAATATAAAATATAACAGCGAAAGCATTAAATCACTTCATGAAACCTCATTTCTTAGAGTCAACATGGACTATCATTGCAACTGGAAAGCCCAAATAGATAAGGCTTGTAACAAAATAAATAAATTTGTATATGTCCTTAGAAGATTAAGTAAAACTACTGATAAGAAAACAACTCTGATAGCATATCACGGATATGTAGTTTCACAATTGCGATGTAGTTTAATAGAATGGGGTAATCCTACTGACATTAATAAGGCTTTCTTGGTACAGAAAAAACGTTTCAGTGCTCTTTGCGGGCTTCCACCATGGAAGTCTTACCGACCACTATTTAAAAAATATAAAATTATTCCACTAGCTTGCATGTATATTTATATAGCAGTTGTAAATTAAAAAGTTTAAGAAAAATTTAAACAGCTTTATTACGGCCAAAGAGCACTATCCGCGAAATAGAAGAAATCCAATAAGACTAGACTAGAGTATTAAATAGATATCCTAGGATTATAATCTATTAAAGAAACTTTTATAATATGTGTATACGAATTTTTAATAATATTCCAGAAAATATTATACAGAGACAATTTAAGAGCACACTGTACAAATGGCTTTTGGACAAATGTTATTATTCAATTAAGAACTTTTTGGACTAGAAAATAATTCCACTTTATAAGCACATACACAATATTTTGTCATTAGTTTAAAAAAATTATTATAAATATTAAAATTTTGCATGCCATTGTTTTAACAAAATACGCCTATTCCTAACATATTATTACTACCATCTGTATACCGTGTTTTTCAGCAAATCAATTATATTATTATTATTAACGTCAATCAATACCACCTTGTCGTTGCTTGTGATCTTGAATTGAGTTCTTTATTCAAGAGAGCACTTCATTATATTTATATTACCCGTTTCAATTATATAGCTTTTTACTATTATACGTCACTAATAAGAAGGCGCACTTTATATTTGTTTGTTTGTGTTATCATATCATTATATTGCTATTTCATAGGTATGCTACGACATTCTCTTTCTACAACATTTATCCCAGTTCACTGGGTTATCAAACGAATAAATTGTGCTCGTCACAGATAAATGTGATTAGCCGTTATGATAGCTGTTGCTCTTATAACTTTTAATCTATAGCATCATTACAATGTAGCGACTACTTGCTCTGTGGGCTTCACAGCTCTCATATGTCAATTAAACTGGCTCAGTTTTCGGTTTTTATTAACATTGCCAGATTGAATATTCTTTTCACAGTTATGGGTAAAACAATTTTTTAGCTGCGAAGTTTTGGAGTAATATGAAATGGATGTGCAGAATTTTTTTTTTTATATATATATATATTTTTGGTATTTATAAACTGTATATTTTTATAAATATATTAAATGCAAAAGTGAGTTTGTTTTTTAAGTCATAACGATTAAACCAATCATTATGAAATTTTGTGTATTATGCCTACTATATAGGACAAAGAAAGACAGGCTATTTCACATAGCACTCAGTGAACATATGTCAGTGACGTGGATGAAGTCGTGGATAAAAGCTAGTCATTAAGTCAAATTGAATTGTACATATGAATAATGGTAGCGACATTAAGTGAAAAGTGAGATATTATGAAGATATTTTTTTGTCGTAGTTCATGTAGTGATTAAAGGATAAAAAAAACGAAATCGTGTCATTGTGGAGAAAAAAGTTTGACATTTGGGTAAAAATAAAGAGACGCATCTGTCAACCCGGTTTCTTATTTTTTAATTTAAAACTTCACTGTTTCAATTTCTTTAAATATTTCATTTAAGCATTTGTTGTTAAATAAAATATAATAATAAAACAACATTAACAGCTATAGCTTCTACCAATTTTTTATTCCAAATTAAGTCATTATGACTGTACTTTTTAAAGAATTCTTACTGATAAACTGTTAATAGTTGAAATTGAATATATTAGAAACATGGGAGATGCCTATTTTAATTTGAAACATAAACTTGAAGAACTTGGTTATAGTAATAGTTTGCCCATTGAGGCAGTTCCTTTAGTAGAATGTGTTCTTGCCGATTTGTTGCAGACTACACGAAGCTTACAGCATTATATGGACTTGTCGAAAGAGGCATTACAACAACGGGATGCTTTGATATTAGAAGCTGAACCATATAAATGTGATAATGCGAAGCTTATACAAGAGAACAATCAACTTCATAGAGATGTTATAAGGTTAAAAGAAGAAAACACAAAAATTTCAAAAGAAAATAAAAGGAAAGCTAAAGCTATGTCTGAAGAACTAATGAGAAAAGATGCAACTATCAGTAAGCTACAACATGATCTTAGGGATTTAAGTTTAAGGGGATTATGTGCAGAAACTCAAAGTAGTAGAAACAAAAGCAGAAGGAAAGATGGTGGAGATATGTTACCAAAATTGTGCATATGTAATGAAAAAAATAATACCAATACTCAGAGAGATGTTGCAGACTTGGTTACGAGAAACTGTTTACTAGAAGAGAAAAATGAGGAATACTATGATGAAATTGAACTTCTTAAAAATCAAGTTGAACATAGAGATAATGAAATTGTAAGGTTAAATATGCTATTAGAGGGAGGAAGGCCTATTGCTGCTATTAATAAAGATTGCTGTAATCTGCCATCTGATAGTAGGCTACAAAATTTAATGAAACAGTTACATGAATTAGAATCAACAAATGATTCTTTAAAAAAGGAAATTGACAATGGACTTGAAAAACAACATGAAGCTATGCTTAGAGCCCTTAGTCTTGCTGATAAAAATAAAGTATTACAGGAAGAACTGAAAAAAGTAGATACATTAGCTTTAAAGGTTGAAGAAGACTGTAATAAAAGGTTAGCTGCAATGATGAATGAGGTTAACTTTTTACAAACAAGAATAGAGGGTCTCATTATGAAAAATTCACAATTAGAAAAAGAACTGTCACAGCAACATTCTAAAGAAAGTTTACTTACTCCAGTAACACAAAAAAATCAAAATTCCTTATGTGCTATTTTAAAGGAGAGAGACATATTACAAAAAGAAATAAAAGATCTGGTAGAACTTAACAAAAGTTTACAAGATAAAATATTTTCTGTATCACAGCTAAATAAATCAATTCATAATCAGTTCAGAAATGACTTTGAACACACTAAAGATAATAAAAAATGTCCCACAAAAGACGAGTTGCAAGTGCTGCTTGAAGATGAACGGAAAAAATATGAAAAATATATGACAGATATACAGCATAAGTTGACAGAAACATTGAACCTTTTTAATAATCATTTATTAAAATGTCAAAATCAAGATATTTCTAGTCATAAAATTTCTCATGAAACCTTGTTTGTAAAAGATCTACATGGTAAATTATGTGAAAAAGAACAAAAGATACTTATGTTACAAAAAGAAAATGATGAAATAAAATCTAAAATGTATCACCATGATGAAGGTACTAAACAAAACTATAAAGACATAATAAGTCAATTAAATGCAGAAAATGCAGAATTATCTAAAGAAAATATTTCTCTAAGTCAACAACTGAGTCATTACAGAACTTTAAATAGTGCAAAAAATGATAGAAACAAATATTGTACAAAAGACATACAAAAACTAAGAGATAAAATAGATGAGTTGACCCATGAAACACAATTACTGAAGAAAGATAAGCATGAATATAATATGCGATACAAGGAAGCTATGGATTTAGTAGACAAACTAAAAAGAGATTTGGCATTTAAACAAAGAGAAATGGAGTTATTACAAGAAGAAAATTCTTCTTATAAAATGACTCAAAGAACTGGAAAAGCCTCTGCTGATCATCTTAAAGATGAGTGTAACTTTTTAAAAGAACAAATAAAGAAAATGCAAAGTGATGTTATTAAAGAAAAAACATTAGCTAGTCAGATAAAAAATATACAATTGGAAACTGAAAGAAGTAGCAATGAAATACAAAATGAACTATTGGGCACACAAAAGAAACTTAGTTTATCAAAAGATACGATTGATTCTTTAGAAAAGAAATGTAGAGAATTACAGTCTGAAATATTGGCTTTAAAAAATGAAAAAGCAAACTTAATTGATAATATAAGAAAACTAGATCAAGAACGTGATAAATTGGTAATTGAATTAGATCAAAAGACAGAGACTGCTAGTGTTTTGGAACAAAAGATAAAATCTCAATCATATGAAATCAGTAAATTAGAAAAAGAAATAGCTGAACTAAAAAGAAAGTTAAATCTTAATAAAGTGTCAGAACATAAATTAATTGATAATGAAGCTCAAATAGCATATTTAAATGGTGAAATTTTGAGATTAACACAACAAATTGATAATGCTATAATAGAAAATAAGCATTTACAAAATAGCCTTGGTGATGCTAATGGTGTATTAAAAGTTACAAAAATTGAGTATGAAAAATCACGAAAAGAAGTAGATAGTTTAAAACAGCAGTTGCAACACTATGTAGCAGAAATTAGACGAATTGAAGAGCTCTTGTCCCAAAAAGAAGCTGAAAGGTCTGATATGTTGGAACAATTTGCAAGTCTTTCAGTAGAAGCAAATATATTAGAAAATACTAATCATTCATTAGAAAGCGAGTCTGCTTCAAAATCAATCCAATTGCAGTCTTATATTAACAAAATTCAAAATTTAGAAACTAATCTTTTAGACAAAGAAAACATAATTGATTCTCAATCTGCACATATTGCATCTATGACTTGTAAAATAAGTACTTTAGAAAATGAAGTTAAACTAGTAACTGAAGAAAAATTGCTTCTTGAACAGAATATTTCATATTTGAAACAAAAGTGTAAGAATATGCAAATAGAAAACACTAATACTACAAGAGCTATTGTTGATACAGACTCTGAATTAAAATTATATGAAAACAGAATTAAATCTTTGACCAATTCTAAGGCAAAATTAGAAGTTGAAAAAGATAATTTGAAAGAACGTTTATTAAATTCAGAGAAACTGTTATCTAATACTAGACAGGAAGTTGTGGAACTGAAATTAGCATTGCAAGATGCTACTTCTGAAACAAAGTCTTTACAAGAACATGTATCAAGACTTAGTCGGAGAGAGATCAATGAGGTATTTAAATTTAATTACTATAATTAAAAGCAGCAAAAATAAAATAACATTGATCAAATGTGTAAATAATGTGCCATTATTATTACCCATTTAAGTGTGATTGTTATTTAATTGTTACTTTATTTCACAGGCAACATTAACTACAGAACTTGAGTTACCACTTATGTTAGAAGAAACCATACATGAAGTTAGTCATGAAGAAGATGAGGACAGTGCACGGTATCCTGAAGTGCGCAAGAGATTCTCAAAGTATTCTCGCAGTGATACATTATAATTTACATTTTCATTACTGATTGGATAAACAAGGTCTGGATTTGGGGTACTTCGTTTTTATTTATAAGTACCTTGTAACAGTATTTTCATATTTAATCACTTTGAATTATGAGTTACTATTAAATTGTAAATTTAATTATTGCATAATTAAAATGCATTTCAATATAAAATTTCTAATATGTATTTATTATATGATTGTAAAATACTGTTGATAAATATTTATTAAAATACAAAAGTAAAATTTTTAATTGTCTTAATACTTAAATTCACGATTTTAGTGTCAGTAGCTGTAGAACACCTATAAAAGGGTCTAATTGGAACAAAATGTTTGCTTGGTAGTCACTGCCGGCCAATGATAATTTTTAAAATATTTTATATAGTTTTTGTTAGAAAAATGTATATAAACTTAAATAGGCTAAACAATAAAAACAAATGAGAGATTATAAAATCCAAAGTTTATTAATTTTGGATAAATATGATAATGTATGTATTCCTCCTTTACCAATTTTGTATTGATTACATTATATTCTACAACAAAATCACACTAGCATTGTTTTATATTTACATAATATTCTACCCACATTATTCTTTGTTGTACATCATATTAGACAAAAGTATACATTCAACATTTTTCTTTCAACAGCAAAAACCTTGTAAAAAACTTCAACAAGTCTTTTGAAATTGATATTGCTAGATTGATGCGCAACTCAATTGTTATGATTATACAGATAGGTAAGTACAAATTGTGTTAAGTAGATGTTTGTGCTTTGGTAACAAAATAATTGTCTCAAAAATAAACATAACATTATTTAGTTTTACTAATGAGGTTTTTAAAATGTTAAATCAGTGAGCAAACTCGGTGGGTACAATTATACAAAATTTTAACAATCCAATTTCTTTATGTACATTGTGTCCATTAATCATATCTATTTTATAAGGGAGTGAAGTCTATGATAGCTAGCCAAATATAGTACTCTATCACATGTCTATTCATATTACTCTTGTATCAGAATTCTTACAAATAACTAAAGATATTTTTTTTTATTTTCAAATTAAATTAATATTCTAAAATATTAACTGAATTTTATACATCAATAAATTATAATATTGTTCCATATTATATACTGTCAGTATATTATTGAAAAAAAAAGTAATCTGTATTGTATACAAGTTACTTTTTTACATTACAATTGGATAGTATTATGGTGTATTCATATGGAATGCAATTAAATTATAATGATTAAAAATGATAAAGTATCAGTCCTTTAATTTCACATTATACATGTTACATTTATCTACACATATTTACATATTTCTAGTTATTAGTGTTATTATATATATATATATATATATATATATATATATATATATATATATATATATATATATATATATATATATATATATATATATATATATATAATTTGCAATATATCTAGGCCACAGCTTTACTAACTCATTCAACTATGTCATGTTGATTCTCCTATTAATATACTAAAAGAACATTTTCCTATAAGAATAACTAACATTTGGGATCGGACTTATCAAGGCCATTATCATGAGATATAGTTATACCAGAGATTTTTGTGTTTATAAAGTACAATAAATTAAGTGAATATTGATGAAAAGGACATGATCAAAGTATTTACAAAATGTATCAAAGTTATTAAACACTTATTGCATATTCACCACAAGGAATACCACATTAGCATATATTATTATAACTACTTACATAGTACAGTATTAAAGAGGAAATCACACATCGACTTTCAGCACCTTCCTGTAAGATTTCCATAACAATATTTCTAAGATAATTGACCTTCAATTCATTTGAACTATAATTAGATTGGTAATAAATACATTGCAACATAATCAGTTAAATACAGAGTAAACTAGAGTCATGTTTTATTACAGTGTTGCCAAAATTCTTGTAAAACCTATACCAGCTCCTAAAATAGTTTGTCCTATACCCCATATCATTGCATGTATTGGAGGCATAGTTAAGTCGGCCGCCCGATAAATAAAGGCGACGGCAGCACTACTGGCTACGCCCGAAGTTACCGGATTCACTACACCCATTACTATCAACAGAACTGGAAAAAATTTACCATATTTATGTTTTCTTAGAGTTCCAAAGGAGACAAGAGCAGCACAAGTGTGGACAAATACTGAAGAGCACAAGGACCACAGAAACACTGGATACCACATTTCGCCGAACGTGTCCAAAGGGTCGCCAGGAGTCAACCTTAGTATATCCACGAAAGAATCGAATTCCGAGACACGGAACTCTGACAACATGTCATACATGTTGTCCTACGTATTCGTAAGCTTACAGGCATCGGGGCAGCTTTGTTGTTCATTAAATTTTCTTGAAATAGTAACCATGAAAAAACGGTACAAAGATAGTAGCCTTTTTGATAGTGGCTACTTACATATGTTTTTATAAACTCTGTTATATGATATTAGCAATATTCACAATATTTTTCTTAGATTTCTGTAATTAACGTCGTTAATTTTCATCTAAGACTAGAGTCAGAAAATTGTTAAATATTAAACACTATCTCTTAAAGAAGAAACAACGTAAGAATGAAAGATCAAAGAACTGAAAACTGCTAAAATCGAAACTTTCAAGTCTGTCAGTCAATTACAGTTGTCAGTGGGCTGATGTTGTTGTTCTTTTCCAATTCGCCTTGAAGGCAGGCAAAGATAGCTAAACCGTACAGTCAATTCTTATTAATTGATTTCGGACACAGAGATTGAATCTCAGTCGCCATTTCTATAAATGTATACTTATAACATTAACATATAAACAAAATTTATAATAACTTCGATTTAAATCTCTCCATTATTTAGTTTATATTAAACTTTTGAATGAAGATTTTGTTATGACAATAACTTGAAATTAAAATATTATTGAAATTATATTTTTTTTATGGTGCTTTTACTATAAATTTATCTCGGTTTAGAGAAATGGCACCACAGAATCACTTCTTGAATTCCTTATTTGAATTAAAGTTCCCGAAATGGAGTATTTTTTAAATATAAATCGAATTATTTCTAATTATTATTTGTATGTCTGCGCTATTTTGTTATATATATATGACATATTAGTTTATAGTTAAAAGTTTACTTGCTTTTGGCAAAGCATTTGTACAGAGAGAATTTATCTATATAATCTGAAAGTGCGACTTTGTCCATCCGTTCTTGCGAAATCATTAACCCACAGATATTTTTTAATAACAAATTAGGTTTATTTGACGTTTTTATGAATAATTTGTTTATATTTTTATTAAGTTTTATTGAAACCGATAACTGCTATATGTTGATAGGTATCTATTAATTTAGGAACGTACATCAATCGAATAACTTTGACCACGACTGAACCTTACTTCATACAGAAGTTTCCAACTTTATTGAGTTGACTGATGACACTGGCAAATTTTGATTGACTTGTAGTGTAATTGGTTTCTGTGTAGATTGATGTTTGTTAAAATATAAAGTCCAGAAAACACATGAATTTGTATTATTGTGTTAGTGTATAATTCGTGTTGTGCGGATTTCGAATTGCAAAAGGTTTGTACCTAAATTTTTATTTTCATTTTCGGCGTTCGGTAAGGTAAAGTTTTATCGATATGAAGTTCGTTCAATCTCTATTGTGTACAGCTTGTCAAGTAGTAGCAATACTTATCTAACCTAGAACCTTTAAACCTCGTGATTTTGCATATTTTCTTAATTATATTTCTGTTGAGTTGATTTTATAAAATGGGGAAAGTGAGATCAGCTCCAGGCGCACCCCGGAAACAGGGGTTCAATAAATCTGCACATTCTATGAATCCAGATCGGCCTACTGAAGGGCTCAAGGGTGTTGGAAATGCCAGAACAAAAGGAACCATCAAAAGATTGCAGATGTACCGTAATTTTAAAGCTAAACGGGATAAGACTGGTAAAATTTTAACTCCTGCACCATTCCAAGGTTGGTTGCCGTCGGGAACGAGAGCACGCGTTGAACCTAACCAAAAATGGTTTGGAAATTCTCGCGTAATTTCACAAAGCGCCTTACAGAAATTTCAAGAAGAGTTTGGTGCAGCTGTAAAAAATCCTTATCAGGTGGTTATGAAACCAACTAATTTGCCTATTACATTATTAAATGAGAAAGCTAAGAATGCTAGAGTGCATTTATTAGACACTGAAGGGTTTGACAAAACATTTGGTCCCAAAAAGCAGCGAAAAAGAGTGAATTTAAAGTTTACTGATATAGAAGCATTATCCAAAGCTGTGGAAGAGAGTACTGACAAGTATGATGAATCTAAAGATGTGGATAGAGTTCGTGAAGATACAGGGGTGAAAGATGGTCAAAGAGACTGGGTCTTTGGTGCTGGTATGAGTAAACGAATTTGGAATGAGTTGTATAAAGTTATTGATTCATCTGATGTACTATTACAAGTTCTTGATGCACGAGATCCAATGGGTACAAGAAGTCCATATGTTGAAAAATTTTTGAGGGAAGAAAAACCTCATAAGCATTTGATTTTTATCTTAAACAAAGTTGATTTAGTGCCTAATTGGGTAACACAGAGATGGGTAGCCATACTAAGTTCAGAATATCCAACAGTTGCCTTCCATGCTTCAATGACTCATCCCTTTGGAAAAGGTTCTCTTATTAATCTACTACGACAGTTTGCTAAGCTACATATAGATAAAAAACAAATAAGTGTAGGGCTAATTGGGTATCCAAATGTAGGAAAATCCTCAGTTATTAACACACTTAGATCAAAAAAGGTTTGTAAAGTTGCACCAATTGCTGGTGAAACTAAAGTGTGGCAGTATATTACATTAATGAAAAGAATATTTCTAATAGATTGTCCTGGTATTGTATATCCATCAGCTGAAACAGACACTGAAAAAGTACTTAAAGGAGTTGTACGAGTTGAATTAGTGCAGAATCCTGATGACTACATAGAAGAAGTTATTAAAAGAGTTAGAAAGGAATATTTAATTAAAACATACAAAGTGGATGGATGGGAGACAGCTACTGATTTTCTAGAGAAGTTAGCAGCTCGCACAGGTAAATTATTAAAAAAAGGAGAACCTGATGTTAATCAAGTGGCACGGATGGTACTCAATGATTGGCAAAGAGGGAAGCTTCCATTTTATGTAGCACCAGAAGGTTATGAAATTCCTATAAGTAAGCTGCAAAAAGAAACAGAATCCAAAGAAACCGTTCCAACAACTGAGGATCAAAATAAGGAAGAGCCCCAGGATGAAACATTACTTGAAAAAGAAAAAGATGTCTCTGAAAAACCCACTCTTACTATTAATAAACTTGTCATTGCTCAAGACTTTGCTAAAATTAGAGTGGGACTTCAGTTTGATAATGATGATGATGTTAAACCTCTTGATAAAATGAATATACCTGATGAACTACAAGGCATAGATGATGAGAAAGGTGATGAATCTAAAAGTGAAGATAAAGAAGATGAACCTGTAAAAGATAATGATGATGATAACTCTTCAGTCATAAGTGGTTTTTATAGTAATGATGAACAAGTTTGTAGTGATGTTGAAGATTATTTGACAAATGATCCTGAGACAGTAAAAGAAATGAAACGAAAGAAATTAGAAGCTGCTAGTGGAGCATTTATAGTTGATGATATCCAACAAAATAAAAAGCGGAAGGGTAATAATGATAATGGGGCTGTTAATTCCAAAAAATTAACTGCAAAAGAAAGAAGAGCAATAGATAGAGCTCAACGTCGCACTAAAACAGGAAGTAACTTTTATGAAGTATCAAATGTTAAAAATCGCAATAGAAATAAGAAAAAAGTGGTTTAAATTATTTGTTTAACAATAAATTACTTTAAAACAGTATGTGTATATTGTTTATGTAATATTTTTTATATCCTAGATCTATGTAAAAAGGAAACAAACAGGTAATTTTCTTTACAATTGTATAGTGAGTGACATTTCCGAAAATAATGGTATTTATGCTTTGCTTTTCCAGATGTCATCAGGAAGTGAAAGTGATGAGGATTATGTACCTGGTGAACCAGAACAAGTATCAGAGGAAGGATCTGCAGATGAGGAAACTGATTTACAGTATGAACAAGAATTAGAACATAAATCAAAAAAACGGAAAGCAAATAAGCAAGTTAATGAAGGTAAGAGAAAGAAAGTAAAAACTAGGAAAGCTAATAAAGAGACAGTAACAGAAGATGTAAATGTTGAAGTGTTGGAGGAAGTAATTGATCCAGAAGAACAAAAGAAACGAGAGGAAGATTTGTGGGCAAAATTTTTAGATGGAACTGATACTAAACCTAAACCAACTTCAAAGCAAATTACCTCTACAGCAAGTCAACCCGCAAAAACTAATACCAACAATACAGACATTAATGAAAGAAAACCAAAAGATTATAAGGAAAGTAAAGATGATGAAAAGGCTAGAGAAAGACGCATTTTTGAGTTTGCAGGTGAAACTATTGTTGTGGAGAATAATGTCATAAAAGAAAAAATAAAAACTCCTGAAGTACCTACAACAGGTAATGAATTACAACTATGACTATTTCATAAGTATTGTTTAGGTCTTGACTTCCTGTGATAAGTAGTTTATTGATTAATTATTTAAAATTATCATGTGTAAAAGTAATTTCAAAACCTTAGACTACAAAGAAATTAACAAAATAAGTATATTGTTTGGTCTTGCTTACATTTAATGAAAGATTTGTACATTTCTGCACCAAGTATAACAAGCAAAAAAGAGATTATCTCATCTTTGTCTGTTATGTTTAGTTTAGAAAAATAATTCACTTCCCAAGGATGTCTTTCTGTCTGTTAACTCTAGTCTCACTAAAACTGTCGCACATAGTTTTTTTTATTACTGATACCTGTATAAAATATCTCTATACAAAGTAAATTTTTTTAGTAAAATTAATTTAATATCTATTTTTGCATGTTTACTCTATTGAAATTGATGTGTTTAGTATTCTGAGTGAAAGAAATTTAATTTTATTTAAAAATTACATTACAGCTAGTAAACTAGATGGTCCATCATCGCACAATCGTCCATCAGGCGGTTTGTCCGGTTTACTCAACAACTTAAATAAAACTAGTAAATTATCCACTTTGGAGAAGTCAAAACTCGATTGGCTCACATTCAAGAAAGAGGAGGGCATAGAAGAAGAAATTGAGAGTCACAACAAAGGCAAGGCTGGGTGAGTGTCTAAATCGATATAATATTATTAGTTGTATCCTGTTTTCGTGGGTCTGTCTAGTCAACTGTTAGGTCAGTGCCCTAGATGTATCAAATATCTAATATGAATTTCAAGTATCGCATCAAAATATCCGTTCAGCTAGTGATAAGTAATGCTTCCTTTATTGAGAATAAGGTCTGTCTATAATGTATAATACTGATTGCAGTTTCATTCCAGTAGTAAACGAGATCAATGTAATTTGTAAAACAATTATTTTCATACTATGGGATGTTTTACGTAAATTCATATATATAAATTAGTAAAGGCCTGCTACCTGACTTATATGTATAATGGAGGGCTTAAGTTGTATCATATGGTTTGCTTAACTGAATCTGATCATTTATGTCCGGCTAAAAAATTAAAAACATCCTTTGTAGCATGTGACTTGCATAGTAACAGTTTTACATACGAAAGCGTCTACATTTTATGACTATTACAGTATTTCAGTCTATGTACTTTTTGTCACTTATTGTACTATTAACTTCCTATCTAGTATAAAGTTTCATTGAAATCTCTTCAGATATATTTTTGTGATGTGAGAAAAAGGAAGGCAAAGATCATTTTCTAAAAATAATGTGTACACTTCAATTTGTTTAATATATTTATATAAAAATTTATTAATATTTTAAGATTTTTTATTCTATGTCCATAATTCATGACTCTACCGCTTCCTTTATAAATGTACTAAGATTGTACAATTACACAATAACATATTTTTCAGCTATTTGGATCGGCAAGACTTTTTAGAAAGAGCGGATATTCGTCAGTATGAAATTGAACGAGATCTGAGAATGAGCCGGCGCAGTAATCGATAAAAAGAAAAACATAACTTTAATATTGTTGCCATATGAAGGTTGGACCCTACTGGACTGGATGAAAATACTGCACAAATTCTATTGAGCGAATGTTAATATGATTTGGATTGCATAGGCGTTTGCTCGATTGATTCGGTTCACATAGCCAATTCATTTTATATTATACAAGATAAAATTGAAATCGTTACCGGTACGTAAAACTAAGAGTCTATCTATACCATATAGAACATATATATTATGACAGAAATTTTGTAAATTAGTAATTCAAAAACGAAAATAATTTGATTTTCCCATGCTAAGTCAACAGCTTAATACGCCGTGTTAGTATCAAATATTTTTCCGGTTTCCATATTTCTTTGATGATATTGTTCAGTGTCACTGGTAAAACGCTCTCTTTAAACGATTTCGATTTTACCCTGTAGCCGATAGCTCATAAAATAGACGATTCAACTATGGAGTTCAGTTTTAACAGCTTACTATCTAATAAATGTCGTCTTAGGCACATTAAATCTTTTTATTTTATTATAAGTTACGCTCCCGACATCGTCAGTCCGTATCTCTTGTAAATAAATGATATACTGGTTCAGGATAAAACATAACAAGAGCCTATGTTTCCCAATTCTGTTGATTGAACAAATTAGGCGCTAGAAGGTAATAACCAACGAAATTATATTACATTTACACTGTTAGGACGAATTAGTAATTAGTATGTAGTAGTTTTATGGAATGTAATGTAATGCTCTCTTTTCCGAGCTTAGCCTTTCATTTGGGCCGTTGTGAGTAGAATCGTGGCTAGTACAGCCAGCCCAGCTCCGCCTAGAAGCACAGAAGCTTTCTGGGAACTTCGCAGGCCTCACGGAGCGGCCTCACCGTTCCGAGGATTTCTAAACGTTGAGGGGCCACAGCTTCACATTCCAGGATTATGTAAGCAGCCGTTTCTACGGCGTCAAAACAGCCTCGACATAGAGGGCTGTCTGTGGTTCCTATTGTGTGATAGTTTTATGGAATTACCAATATTTATCGTCGCCTAAGTGCAAATGCTAGTTTTTATACGTATTATTACATAAATTTTTGCCCAAATCTGTACTGGTAAAGTGTATTTTTGTGTTTTGAAGATTTATTTATTTATAGCAAGGCAACAGATTACAAATCAATACATAAATAAAATAAATATTACATAAAACAGCATTAAATTTGTACTCCAATAACTGCTCTGCATAACATTCGATATTATATACATTGAAAGAATGACGGTTATAGATTTAAAGATGGGATATAGTAATGAATTCACAGATTACAGAGGCTTAACACTATACTTTGAGAGATACCATAGGCGTTACAGAATCGGATTGTTTGCTGTCTATAGGTGACGGTTACCACTTTCCATTAGGTGTGCCATCGATTTGCTTTCCACTCTAAGTGGTATAAAAAAATTACTAATTGGTATGAAGTAATAGTATAGCTCTGATTGTTTAAATATACTAGCTAAAATTATAATTTGGCATACACATAACTGGTAACTATTTTTTTTAATGGATGATAAAGAAATGGTAGCCCAGTTCACGCTATCGGTATACACTAGCGGGAGGTTTCACTGGTGAGTGAGGGATAATAAGTAAGGATGAAGTCAGGTCAGTTGGCCTATCATGACGAATTTGGCAATAATTAGAACAGTTTCCAGGAGAAACCGCGTGGTAGTCGACCTGATAGGGTATATTGCTAGCAATGGGGATTAACGTCCCCATTACTAACAATTCTGTAAGTAAGAAAGTATACAACATAATTTATAAATAGATACAGGTTGCAAATAAAAGTGATTTCATTAGTTTATTTCGTCGCCGAAGAGTTAGAATTCAAATACAAAGTTTGTATTTACTGCTTTTGGGCTATATAACACTGAAGTACATCACTAGACCTATATGAAAGTGTATCTAATAATCACGTTTCTCACAACAATACAGTGGCCATATGGATCTCATATCGATGTGCATCACAATGGGTTAATAGTAGTAAATGAGCTTACAAGGTTCATTCCATCCATTCTCGTCAATCACGTCAATGAGTTGACTTGCGGGTACAGCGATCAATTTCAATCTGTGCATTTGAACGGCCGGCCGGCCGCTGTGTCCAATGATTTGCACACGTTGCGCTAATCAAGCTAAACAGTTTATTTGTCGAGGCCGTGTCGTGTAGCCATAGCAGTATTGAATTTGCTACTGAGAAGGTGACATTGTTTGCCATACAAATAATTTAAAAGTGATTATTGACAGCGGCTGGATGTGATACCTATCTTATTATTTGTGAAGTGCAATTATGACGACTTATGGCAGGTGGACGATGTACGATGGACAAATGGAGGGAGTTCAGGTAAGTTTATCAAACTTTTTGCGATTTTGTCTATTAACCTACTTATGCACTATGTATGAACGTATGAAATGAGTCGATGCAAATCAGAATAAGCTATTGGTACTAGTACATAGCATTTTTTTACATCGTACGACATGACGTAATAATAAATAGGTATAATGAGTTATATTACCTAATATTTAATTATTAAATATAATATTACCTAACTAGTTTTTTTTTATGTGTTTTACGGGTGTAATTAGCTTTTGTATAAAATAAGCATCTTTCTTTAAATACGAGATAATGAATTGAGAACCCTGCTTGCACTATCGGTATACTCTGGCAGAGTACCAGTGAGTGATGATAAGTGAGAATGAAGTTAGGCCAGTTAGCCTATCGTGACGAATTCATTAGGAATTTACCACGATGGTTTCCAGGGAATCTACCTGACAAGACTAGCAATAGGGTTGTCAATACCCATTCTTCCCCCTAAAAAATAAGTACTACGTTGACACTTGTGTAATTATCATCACATATCTCCATATTCGCACATATACTGTGCTGTACAGTTCAATTGTTTGTATAGTGTAAATAGTTACGTATCAGTTCCATCCTTGAAGAACCCCATACTGTAGTCTCTAGGGGAAAACCTCGGCAGGGAACACATTCCACATTGAATAAAGATATCCCGGTCAGACGGATGAAGTCGCGGGTAAAAGTTAGTATAACAATGCGACGCACTCTGGAACCTTTGGTACGCCCACCGTTGTAACATAATCCGATTCACATGTTCGTTTATTGGAGCCTAACAAATTCTTGTTGTGATTAATTCGCACGTCTCTACATTCATCATTCATAGATACATTTTAGCGATTAATATTGAAGTAATTAGGTATTTCTAATGAAAAATACAAGTTGTAAATTGCAAAGTAATTTCTTTATTATCATTTTTGTAATATGAACTACTTAATGTTAAATTACTTACGTAAGTACTTAGAAAATTAACCGCTGACGTATAGTGTATGGTATGTATCTATTTGTAACCTGTAAAGTAATAGCGTAATATCAATTACTATAATTATTATTGTCTTCATAGTTATGTAGTTTATTTATTACTAAAATTATTAAAGTAAGTCCTGAATTGATTTCACATTGTATTTAAATTTATTTGATAATTAGATATTTTAAATAGATATCTAAACAAACATTATAAAGAAGAAAGATTATATATTATTTTTTATTTATTATGCATAAACTAAAAAAATAATTGTCTTAATTCTTTTACCTAAAGCTATATAATCGGCATGAAACATAGGCTTTATTCGTTTTAGAAACTTGGAGATCTTATTTAATCTACTTGTGCGAAGTCGAGCCGTTAGTTCTTTAGGTATGTATGTGCTTTTACACTTAAGTCTACCCTACAAGGGACTTAATGTAAAGATAGATATTAGGACATTTAGTAATTTAGTGCAGTTAGAAAAGTAAAAGTTTAATAAGATTCTACTTCTACCATTGATCTGTAATTATTTATATCGGCTTTAGTCACGTTTTAATCGTTTACTATTTAACAAACATTGGTTTGCAAATTTTCTCACATTTGTCTATTAGATATTGGTGTGATTGTGTGGCATGTATTTTATTTGATGCTTGCTATTTTACTGCACATTGCAGGCAGTAACAATTGACATTGGGTTCTTAGAGGTTTCTTTCATTACTCACTTTTGTAAATGAAGTAAAGTCAGATAAAAAATAAGTGAGGGAGAATTCAGTATTCTGAGATCAGACATTTAAGAGTGCAAGATTTTTTTTTATTGTATCTAATTGAAAAAATGCTCATCAAAATATGCATTTTATGAAGTATATGTAAATTATTACTACCACAGTTAGTAGATAAGTGTATCTATATCACAAAAAACAATAAGCGATGTTAGGTTATACCGTATAGGTAGTCTCGTAGAGGTAGTACTCGTATGCCGTCGAAGATATTCCAATGAAAACCTCACGTGAGAAACTACAGTCGTTAAAGTTACGGCTGTCCATAAACTCGTGTAATGTAAAACATTACCTGACGAGCCCAGTTTACAAATCGACGTACCTACGCCTTAATAAAGTAAACATTCTGTTAGCTAACTTGCATTCAATTTATATCCAGAACACGAACGGCGAAGGTAGGTAACTTAATGAATGAAGGGTCATACACCAGTATCTTGTTCAATGACGTAATTCGGGACAGCGAACGTGGTAGAAAGGAAAAGTGGGCGAACTACTGAGTACAGCCTCGACGCCCACGCTAGCACTCCTGCGTTCTCCTGTTTATAATTCGCCATCCTTATAAAGATCAGTTTAATAATGTTGTACCTAGTTCAGTTAAGTGGACAAGAGCGTATCGGACACGAATATAACTGCCGAACCATAGTTTAGCATTTATATTTTAAATTTTAACTTGGTCGCTCATGCCCTGACATTTAAATTGACACATTTACACCGAAACCTTATGCTTTGTAGTATTCAACGAAAGATATATTTTCAATATTTTTCAATGCTATAAAGTTAGTAGCATTACAAATCAACAGTCTTGTGAATCTTCAAAATTAGAGTTTGTATTAAGAAAAACTAGACTACAAAACTTATTTTTTTTATACAATTTAAAATGGCAAACAAGCTGACGGTCCACTTGATGGAAAGTGGTAACCATTGCCTATAGACATAAGCAGTACCATGGACATAATAAAGAATACTGTTTCGCCCATGATACCCCCCATGCGTTGCCATTCCTGAGGACTTGGATGTTATTCCTCCGTACCTAGTAAATTCACGCCATATCCCACCCTTCAAACCGAAACACAGCCATGCAAACACAACTGCTTTATGGTTGAAATACGAATGGGACAGAGGTACCCAAGCAATCGACTTTTGTACGAAGCTAAACTTAGCAACTCAGAAGTAAACAATGAAAGATTTGACATGAAATCTCTAGATTTATATAGAGATAAAATAACGTTTTGTAAACAGGATGATTCTACAGTTGAATCAGTATCATATGTGTGTACAATATCGTGTTTATGCATACTACTGCGGTTAATGCTTAATTGCTCATACTTCATACAACACATACTTACCAAAATACCTCATAAAAGTATCTGACCTTTTCAGTTACCTAAATTATATAGAGAGCTAAGAAGATCTTTACTTTCTTGGCTTTATTTCAACTTTTGAACATTTTGTCAAAGTGATGCTGAGACATGTAGGCAGAGATACATAACGAAAATAAAGGAGTTTCATTATAGATAGTTGAATAGAAAACCGGAGACAAAAGGAACATATCAAACATAAAATGCCTGAAGCCTGAAGAAAATATTGAATATATGATCACCATTTATATGTTACTAAAAGTTCCCCGCAGTTTTAGCCTTCTAATATATAATAATGATATATGATATACATATATGAATCTGTATGTAAGTTAATTAATCTATGTGTGTACAAATACAAATACGCTTTTTTCTGTCCTAAAGCAATGAATGCGTTATTGTATTTCCGTATGAATAAATAAATAGCAAAGTATAATTTCTAATACTTTTTTTTTTCTTGAATTTAAGGTGCTGTAATTATTTACGAGTATATAAATTTAATTCTTATTTTAAAATTCGGGAATTTCCGACTAGTTTCGAATTTGATAGGAGCCCTTATTCATGGTTTAATGCGGCCTATTTATCAGTAGAGCTAATATAATGCTGGTACACAAAGGCCTATAGATACTATTTTTTTTTTATTTATTATTTTAGTAAACACTTCAGTCTTTTAGTAAAAAGGTAAGTATTTATGTTGTTCACGTTAGTTGTGTATTAAGAAATTGGTGGTGTTCTTTATATAGGAAGTACTAAGTGTAATTTTTTTTAAATAATGCAGATATAATTATTGTTACATTGGGCATTGACTGTAGGTAGAGCCGAAAACCAGGATACTTGTGATTAAGGGCTTTAAGTATGCAATTAGAACAATAAACTGTAAACAAGCGATTATCTTTATTCAAGTAAATTGTATCGAATAGATATCTACATTTTACTTTGATTTTTGGGAAAGTTTTTAATTCTGTATGTAGAGTATTGTAGAGCGGGTAAGCATATACTGTAAATTACGGTGAATACAGATACACATTGTTTCACGTTTTATACAGAATGTGTGACTACTAATTAAGTGCAGTGTTACAATGTACGGGTCGATGAAATGCACTAATTAATTACAACAACTGGAGCAGAAAACTGTTGTCTTCAAAGCTCGGCAGTTATTGGGTTTCAACACAAGGCACCTATTGTCGAATTCCATAATATTTGCTCAGGTGTGCGTTATACGAGCCGAGAGTCGCACAAGTGAATGAGCTACGGCTACGGCGGTAGTGCACCACATTGCGCATGTGTACTCGCGTTCGATAACCGCACTACGGCCGTGTTCGCGGCACGTGTCCATGTGGTCGGCCATGGGGGTTCGAGTGCTTCTAGAGAGATGAAGGAGACTGCTCTGCCGACCCCGTGCGGGCCGAGCGGCGCACGAGGGCCGTGATGCGAAGGCGCGGGGTGAACGATGCGCGCAGCGGCCGCCGGTGGCGCTGGCGGGCGCGCCAGTCGTACGCTCGCGCCTATCGGGGCGGTTGTTAGTCCGGTGTCTCATTTTATCGTAGCTCTACACGCAGCCGTATTCTGATTTATTGGATTTGTATTTTTTCTGACAGTGCAGGAATTTTTCAGATCGGATGAGGATAATAATGTGATGTGTAAAATTGATCTGTGCCGGTACTGTGGTGGCATTGAGTAAACTCGCGGAAATTCGCTTTTCGGGGAAAGTGTTTTTCTTGTGTGAGACGCCGGTGGGACCGGCATCGGGCGGGCGCGTGCTCGTAGTGGCGGGTCGGTGGATGGTGCGGCGCGGGCGGGCGCCGGGGCGCGGCCGGCGGCGCCGCTAGCAAAATGTCGATACCCCTGGGCCGGGAGACTGTGCTCCCCACACAGGTGAGTCTTGGTTGTTCTCGCTTTTCCGAATGAGTTGATGTGCGTGTGGCGGCCGCGTGCCGTGGTGCGAGTGGCGCTAATGGAATAAGTGGCTGAGGGTCTAGTTAGAGGTGTAGTGTGTGGGAACTTGATAGATAACCAACTAGCTGATTGCAAGAGATTGAGTAGATACTAGGTATTTGATATGGTTTCATTAAAATTAAACATCATTACCATTAAATATTTGTACCTAAAAGGAATTGATTATATTTCTAGATATGCCTAAGTTACTATTCAACCACTGAATATGGCGTTTATATTTATATGATATACCTAGGAATAAAGAAAATCAAGTTTTTTTTAAATATTGGATACTTAACCTACCTATTTGACAGTACAGTGACAGTTTACAGTTATCAGTAATTTATTTATATCCGATATCTGTTAACCTACCTAATTGATAAGTAATATATAGAGGTGATGTGGGACTGATAAATATTGATTAGCGAAGTGTTTATTGATATTATATTCTACTTGTTGAAGGGTAGATAGGTATATGGTATTTTTTATATTAAATAATTATTTATATATTGGGAGTAGCAGACAAACTGACGGCTCACCTGTTGGTAAGTAGTAAATACTGGTCATAGACAAAAACAGCACCATGCATGGGCATAATACAGTGCTGCTCATAGTAGGAGAATAGGACTTGTGGTAGGAGTAGCAATGAATGAAACCAAGAGTATGTTGAGTATGTATGTAATGTTGTAAGAGGTATAAAATATTTAATAGAACTGAAATTTATTATATTATTTTGTTTGCTTGTTGATGTTTGCTGTCATGAATAGACGGACTGACCGACAAACTCAGAGAAACTTATATTCTATGTGCATGGATATGAATAAGGACACAGTATTCATTTTGAAGAAATATAAAATTGTATGGTATCAGGTTACAGGTTTATTTCGCTGTAATGTAATATGTTCGTACTGTTATCTATAACGATAGCGGGAATGCTAACAATGATAACAATATTTCATGTCATGTTTGTTTACGATCCCATACAAAGAGATTGCAAACGGAAAAAAATGTTAAAAAATCACGATAAAAAATAAACTGTCAAGTAAACAATGTTAGAATAAGCAATTGCTTATATAAATAACTACTGCAAATAAATATATAAAGCATTTGTGTACTTTGCTTGCTTATCCATTGGAAGATTAGACTGAAACCGATGATAATTAGAAAGATTTCTTTATAATCTCCCAGATTAAATAGCAAGTCATATTACACTCTCTCCTACAAGGGTTAGTGGTAGGTACCTACTACTGTATAATTATTTATTACCATTTTATGTTGGATAAACTTCATTACTAACTCACCCTATGTCTATCCATTGTTGTAATGAATTCCCCAATTTCCTTCCCCATTGACTATCATTGACTTAACATGTGGCTAACCCACTGCTACTTTAGACATTTTTAGACAGTTACAATTAGTTATATAATATATATTAATAATATTTTGTCAAATTTCAGTGTCCAGATCATGTCCCTTAAAGACATTCCAAGTACAACTCTATTCTCACTCATACGACTTCTAATTTGGAGGCCTTAACAGGAGATCGCATTTGCAAATATATGTAGTTACTTTTGTCTATAAGTATTACAAATTTTATGTCAACCTTAGCTGAATATTTGGACTACTGATCCTAAATATTTGATCAATAGATATTAGTATTTTATTAATTTTGTTCTGCAGCATTCATTTAAAAGAATAAAAGTAAGAAATAAAATATATATATATACCTATTTATATTTTTGATTGTAAATAAAACGTACACTATAGTATAGCAAATCAGGAACTGTATATAAGGTTCAGTTCGACGCAAAGTTCAAGGCTCTATTGATCCACAGTGCAAGGTTGTAGTTGGTTATTTCCGTTGACTATTTTCAGGTAATTCCTGGTTGTGGCATCTTTTAATAGTTACAACGTTGTACTCTATTTTTGTATAAAAACATCAATACGTATTTATTCAATTGATACAAATAAATCGTACACTGTGTTCGATTTATTGTTCACTACTAATTCTTGTTCAGTTTGTTGTATTTATTAACGCTTGTGCTCGTAAAATATAATTATAGGTTAACGATTGAACAAATGTGTTGATTTTGATTAACATATCAATTATAAATTTTTATGGAGTAAACATAGTTGTAAACATTTATGACTTTTACTCTCTCTCTCTCCCTATATATATGTATAAGTAAAATTGCAGTTTTTTACTACTTTATCTATCTATTTTCACGCTAAGACCTTTGCGGGGTAGGCACTAATAATAATTTTATTTTATCTCAATGAGCAACAGTTATAAGTACGTAATTACAATTAGCCATATCATCATCACACTTCCTAAACAGTTTAGTGCCCGTGTTCCGCCTGTGGCTGTGCATCTGTGTCGCCGCCGCGTCAGTTTAAACTAGTCGCATTACTCTCATGTGACTCATGAGACTCTTCTGCGAAGCGGTGCTTATCTTACAAGGCGAGGCAAACTTACGTTTAGGTTTAAAGTCAGTAAATTAAGTACTGCACGTTAAAACAGTACTTACTTATAAAGGAGTTTTTAAACTGCACCTGTAAGGAATAGCTTTTTTTTTAGATCTTTATAAATGAAAAACTTTGTTTTTCATAGGTTTTTTATACACAAATCTTTATACATCGTAAGTAATATAAAAGAATACGTCATTCTACATTCAATCACTACAAAAATTAAAAAAAGAATATAATTATTAGTTAAATTAATAATATATAAATATATTAATAATATATCAATGAATAAAGAATATATTAGTTAAATTAATAATGCCATGTCCTTACAAAAGTCATGTGTCTTTAAAATAATTATAATATTATTTAAAGATTCTTTATTAATGTAAATTATTGCTAAGCAGTGATGTACTAAATTGGTGCAATATGTTTAAGCAATCAAACGATAGCACTTACCTTATAAATAAAACGCTCCAACAAAAATATGTAAGTCTTCAAAGATGTATTTATTCTCGGTTATAATATAGGTATTATATGAATATCTACTGGCATAATTCAATACCATCGACTTGTTGCAACCCAATGGGTCATGCTTGTGGAGGCACGGAACGACCTCCCGTTCGGTCCATTAGCTTTCATTGCGTCCTTTATACCTAGTTAGGCACCTACAGTATTGATTTACTTGATCTTTCTAACTTCTTTGTAATGAGGTTAATAACCTTTCTTTGATAATACTTCCTTGAATTTTTTGCCATTCTTTAAATGTTTTTACCTTAGAACAACTTTTTTCTAATATATATTGTATATTAAAATTAATTTATTATAATTAATTTTAAACCTTATTTTTTAGAACGTATTTTTTACGTTTTTTTGTTTAAAATTAAAACTGATTCACATTCTATTGTTTTAATAGAAACAAAAAGTAACCAAGTGGTACCTAAATATTGTGAACGAAAAATTGTTGGGACTACCGATCAACTATAGAGAGCGAGTTAGTAATTATATAGTATATATAGTATATTTTAGGAATATTGTATGATTCGGCTCACTATCTCATTAGGTATCTGTTTGGATATTATAAAAATATAAGTTAGGTAATTAGGTTTTCATGTGTCAACAAATTTTTTATTCATCAAAGGATTCTTAGTTTTTACTAAGAATCCTTTTAACTAACCTTAAAATTTTCATATAATTCTGCGTTGCCAGATTTAGATCGTCGGTTTACGCCAAAAGCATTACAGTGCTCATTTTCTATACCTTGAATATAATTTCATCTTACAGAAAAGTGAGGTATTCTACATTTAGCGTGTCTAATAATGCTTAGTAACTAGGTTATCCCAGGCTATAACCCTTATCGCTGGGACGTGGTCTGTATCTATGGCTGATCGTATAACATTAATGCACCGTTGCCTCCGCCTCATGGGTTCATCTAAAGTGTGTGTGTGTGTGTGTGTGTGTGTGTGTGTGTGTATGTGAGTGAACAATGCATTCATCGGCTTCCTTTTAGTATTGGCGTTATTAGCGGCCCTTTTTGAATACCATTCTGAAATTTATAATTGGTACCCTAAAGATAGACTGGATAAGTAAAATGAAATACGAATTAATTGGACTAGTTATAGTAGGTCTTGTTAATTTGTACTGCATTCAGAACTTATTCTGAATTCTAAGTTGATATTTTTGGAATAAATATTCTAATTGGCTTTTTGCTCGTCACTTCATATTCCTGGATTTGAGAAGTAGAAAAACAAAGGATGTAATAGGCCACCTCTAAAAGACTTAGGTACCAAGGTAAAACATACATCAGATTTTAAGTTAGACCTTCAGGAACACATCCTATTTCGTATATTGGTTTTAGCGTGATGGCGGAACAAATATATAGATAGATAAACACAATTTCTAAATATTAAAGTTTAGGTTTCTGTTGCTTCTCATATAAGGGAAACCTACGTTCAACAATGGATAGTTAACGGTTGATATAATAATAATAAATTTCCCATATACTGTCTGTATATGGGAAATATCGTCAAGTTACAATTTGATTTTATTAGTAAGGTTAATCATGAACTTTCAAATAATGTCTATTTTCTATTAATTTTCATAGACCGGTGCTAGTATGTTATATATGATACATAGCGCATGTAAAAATATCGTGAATAATACATGATTATCGTTAGACGTCCTTGTCAATTTTATTTACAAAAGACACTAACAAAATATGCGAAGTATTCTGAAATTGCCGAACATCCAGTTGCAAGAATTGAGAGCTGGTTTGGGTAACCAAGCAAAAAAACATCAAGAATCCAAACTGTTCTTACTATGAGGGCATCGCGTGCGTGGTTTCGCAGAAGTATCCGTTCCTTAAATAACCACAACCAGTTGCAGTTTGGCTTCTTATCCGCCGTCCTCGGCGGCGTCCTTTTGCCTGCTTTGGGGAATGCTCCCAAGACCCTTATTAGGTCACATAATCGTCCGTCGCTTCTGAATTGCAAGCAGTCTCGATTGTTCGCCCTAGTTTGGAAATGTGAAATTTTTGTATGTAAAAGTATTTTTTAGCATAGCATAGCTTGTTAGATTAATATTTTGTTCTGAGTTTAATCAGCACGATTCATGTTTATATAGCCACTCTTATTTTTATATAAAAGAAGAAAAAGTTTATTCCAATCGAAGTATTAAAAATATTTATCTGTTCCCAAGGGATTTTTGGCTTGTTATAACGAATTATATGAAATTTAGGTTTCCGGCCAAAGATCTGTCTTTTTGTCATGGGCCTTTATCTTTTAAAACAAATGGAATAATGTGTGTGATGCGGGACAAAAAAATACATGTTTATTATTAGTATCTATTTACACTAATACATTATTATTAAGTTTTTGTAGATGCCTAATATTCATGAAATTTTACGAACGTGCAAATACTTACCTACTTACGTTATCAATAAATATACCTATTGGGTAACTAATAACAAGAAATAAGTTAAAACTCTATATTGCTCACTCGAGTAGATACGTTCTGTGTAGTTAAAACATTTCCATGACATTTAAATTAAAAACAAGTTAAGTGCTGCATGCGAGTTGCGTTTAAACAATTTAGGGCTTACGCCTAAAATACCTGCGCTGTCGCAAGTGCACACACGCCTCGGCGACGGCCAGCGAGCACCTTATATGGAGCTTCTCGGTTCCACATCGGGGCCAGCCCTGTGGAACTCGGCTTCGTCACTCTGTCACCTCGTTTTAGATGCGACATTATCTAAGCTCTAGTACAATTTGAATACCTTATTTTAACAAAAAGTAGATTATAAATGAAAAAATTTATGGCTGTAGACAGACAGTGCAGGCAGATACAGTACAAGAATTCGAGCTGAGTTTCTTGTCAGTTCTTCTCATCTCGAAATCATTCCGAACTGACGGTAGATTTGACATATCATAAGAGTCAGTAATAAACCTACATGAATAAAGATATTTTGATTTGAATTGTTCTGATTTAAATATGTGATTGATACACATACTTTTTTGGAGACTGTCAAAATGCACTAAATAAGCATAGTATTGCACTATATACAGTTTAGATGCATAAAGTTGTAGCGCAAAGCTACTTTTAAATGCTGTTGAAAACTGCCAGCGGTTGGCTCCTGGGATATTGTCTTTGCTTATCCTGAAGTAATACGATTAAATATAATTTGTTGTGCTTATTATTATAAATATTAATCAGTTATTCAATATAATCATAGTCGACAGGTAAAAAAACGCCTGGTGTTATGTCCGCCATATGTACAATTTGTCACGTGGACATGAAGATAAATAAGTTATATATATTATACTAGCTATGTATGCTTCGGTAAATTGACTACTATTATCAAATAATTATTGTAGAATTATTGAAAATATATGTGGATAAGAATATTTAGATGCAGGTAGGTATATAATAAATGTGACAAGGTAGAGTTTTCAAGTAAGTAAGTTGCTTATATTATTTAAACTGAGGTAGAAAAGGTGAAGAAGCATTTAAGGTAGTCTTGGTAGCTCAACTACTTGAGCGTGAATTGTACACTGTATAATTTTTTCTTTTTTGGTAACAAACAAGTATAAATATATAATGATTATTAAACAATTATTATTTTATAATAGATAAGTAGGTATATATTAAATAAGTAACAATTAAACAAATACAATTAAATAAGTAACAAACAAGAACGTCATAACTACATGTTATCTATGTAGTTCAGACGTTCGTTTACTCGTAATTTATTTAAAAAACTAAATATTGATTACGTAAGCCTATTACTATGTACGTAAGTGATGGCCAAAATATCTATAATTAGTAATTGTAATTTTTAATAGTTATAATTTTGCTCTAAGATGTGAAACAATCGGGGCAAGCAACCACAATTATTTTCATACGTACAGGAAATAATGTATCATACCATACTAGATTGTGGTTAAGTAACTTCATTTTTAGATTATTTAGGACAGCGAGATATAGCTAAGAATATAAAGAGGTGTATGTCCTAGAAACAATTTATCACGTATTGGTATCAAGTATCAATTTGTCTCGGGAGATGGGAGATATCGGAGCGTCGCAACCGTCTCTTGTAGATAAGACACGTCTAGAAACTAGCGCAAATATTCGCTACAAGCTAATCAAACGTTAGCCCCTGGCGGTTGCGTCCTCTTAACACTTCATATACGACGAACTAATATCAACCTAATGACAGCCACTTAGAATTGAATAACACAAAGTTGACTCAGATAAGTGACTGCTAGCTACTGCACACGTCTCAATAGATCGTTCCCGAAGATCGTAACTTACTTCGGAAGCATGGAATTTTGAGTCTTGTAACAGTAGGCGACAGGTCTTTACAGTAGATCATCATGGGATTTCTTAGGACACCTATCAGTCCTTTGAAGAGCGTGATGGTATGAGAATTATTTTGAAGTCAAGTGCTACCGTTCGTTACAGATCGTTTCTATGTCTGACATCATGGAGGACACACTGCTAAATTGTAATTAATAAAATTAAAATTGTGCAATTAATAACTGTATATTATATGCAATAACTAAGATTGTGTACAAAAAACCGTCTTTAATTGTTGCAAAACATTCATTTAAAAACAACTGAACCGATTTTGATAAAATTTCTATGGGACAAATATGTAAGTATATCTTTTCAGATAAAAAAGTAACAAATACATAAAAATGTAATCGATTTGAGAAGTTTATTCTCTTTGAAGTCGGTTGAAAAATATATGTTTATTATGTTTCATAACAGCCAGATATGATACTCTATTTTGGAGAAAATTATCGTTTATCGTTTTGAATGAATTTGGGATTGCTTATCTAACTTTTTGTTACACCTAGAAATGGGAGATAAAAGAGATATACTTAATGCATATTTTGAAATTCCAAATTTAAATAGTTTGAAGTAATCAATGACAAATTTTATCCTATTTGATTATTCGTTCGTAGTTTCTTTCTTTAAAAACCACTCGATACCGATATTATTTTCTATGAAAATGTTTTCTTTATTGGAAAAAACTGAGTATGAATGATAAATTTCGTTTTCTCTCTTATTCTTCTATTATTTTCAAAATACAGTAAAATATAAGAAATCTATAAAGAATTTTGTTGCTATAAAAAGAAAAAAAATGTGCAAAATTATTGCACAGAGCTTTAATCTGCTTTAAGCTAAATGTTTTTTCGAAGGAAGTTATATTTTAGAGAATATATACGTATTAATAATTACTATCCAAGACGCATTTATGTATCGGCATAATTTAAAAGAGGTGTTGAGTTATGTCCGTTTTATATGTAAAACTATTCATGGAAGTAAGGTAGACGTTGAATTCAGTTTAATTAAAACCGCTCATCCCCGAAATGGTTCGTGGGTGGATAATAGACATCGATTGACTCCAAAATGGGAGTTTAAATATTAAAGTTCGTTACAGATATAATGAGATTTTGATCGTGTTTATTGAGGGTGCTATAATTAGACAGTTTAATGAATAATTTATTAATATCGGAATTATTCAATTTACTTTACGGGTCACGGATTTAAATTTGTATAAGCATTTTTATGTAATTCACATTTGTATAAGCATTTTTAAGTAATCTAAATTACGCGTCTTCATCGTAAGTATATTTCTGGAAAAGTTTTAATATTGCCATTCTTGAAAACTGAAAGAGCTTAACTTAGAATGACGGTAGAAACACGAATATTCAAGCAATCGAATATAATGTATGCTACTTTTTCTATGCAACTTAGAATGACAAACAATACTCGTAAATATAAATTGTCCAGCTATTTATAAATTCAATCAACTGTCAAGTTTCATGTTATCTGTAATAGATGTTATATTTTGAGCGCAATATTCACTTAAATAAGTTTTGTAATTATCCGTACAAATGAAACAATTTCAAGCAACAGATTATTAAAAATATATTACAACTTGTTAAGTCGAA